CCTTTCTGTACTTTCTATTACATATACAATATCATCATTATATTACCAGAATTGAGCTTAAATATAGCTTGTTTTATAAGATAGGTACAAATGTATTCGTACATTATTTGTTTCAGCATTTAATTGGATCTAAAATAAGCTTTATTTATGATTCCCCAATAATTTAAACTAAAATCATGATGTATTTTTTATAAAAATAGTTTTATAGCTTATTTCATAAGAATGATATGTATAGCTAAATTATTTAATCTCAATTGTAAATATTATCTAAATTGCTTTACGAACTAATCTTGATTTAAGTTACCCCCTAATGTATTTCCTATTATATTTTCTATTAAAATGATTATATATTCTTCAACTTGCTCTGCCCTGTAATATTTCCTAACCGATTATAACATGTTCATAGAGAACCTTTATTGAACTAATTGCCTTTGTGCATCCTGCATTACTCATACGCCATGGTGCACGGGTATACCAATTAATCAGCCAGCTCTCTCAAACTATTCCCCATCTCTCTATCTCTATCTCTCTCTCTATCTCTCTCTTTCTCTCTCTATTCATCTCTATCTCTCTCTTCTCTTTGATCGGCCAGAGCTCCAACGTAATAGCAACAACATGCGATCGAGAAATGCAGTCTCTGGCCGGTGGCCATATATACATTGCATATATTATTGCAGCCTAGCCGCTGTTGCTGACGTTGTCGCGCGACTTTGCCAGCCAGTTGGGCGACCATTTGGCACAAACAAACCGACAGACAGAGAGACAGACAGACAAGACCAGCAAAGAGACAAAACAAACAGACAGACATACATACATGCATACTCACTCACGACAATTGGCATTTTATTAGTTTAATTGAAAGCAAAACAATTTAGCATGGCGAACTGGTTTCAGCTTGTTTTCCAAATGCACGCCAAATTATCATACTCGACTCAGTGCATCGACGAGGCGGCCAACTTTTTTGTTGTGAGTCTTTGAGCCAGAGTTTTTTAAGCTCAAGATTTGAGTTTGAAACTTGTGTGCCTGACTCTGGCATCTTGTATCTGTATCTCGAGTCCGAGGCGCACAGAAGCGTGTCACACGTTTCGCTCTCAGAAAGATATGTATATGCGGGTAATGCTTTTGTATATTTTGTATATAAATAAACAAGTCCATTGAGGAAATTATTTGCAAAATATTCAGTGAGAGAAACAAAAAAAAAAAAGGAAAACGGATTGCCGTTTTGCTGATTGTGCCAATTTTCGGTGAATTTGTTGTTGTCGCTACCGCTGAAGCTGCTGCTGAGCGCTTTTTTTGTTTTAAATAAAATCGAAAATCATATAAATCACATAATTAAGTTTCGGGCTCGATCTGAATGTTATGGCTACGTGAATCGTATTAATGAAACGTAACCCAGCGGGTGTTGAGCTCTCGATAGGGCCATTACGCCCCGCAGCTGGAAGTCTCATTCTGAGCAAACGAAGGGAGAAAACCGCAGCGGAGAGGGTATAGGGGATTCTCTGGTTCTCCGATCGGCAAGGTGTGGTTTATTTTGGGGTTCGCGGAATCCTCACTCACTCAGAATCACACTTAAGCTGATTAAAAGTAAATGCCACACGAAGCCAACACATCAAGGGGTTTAAGTTCAAAATAGAACATATAGAAGTGAAAGTGTTATGTTTTTTGAGAAAGCTTGAGAATTATTTAATTAAGGGATTATCAATCAAGGCAGAACTTTAAGAGGCTTAAGCTGAAAAGTACTATATATATGGGGAAGTGAAAGGTTTTATTCTAGAAATTTGTAATTAAAAGATTAGCCATAAGTGCTTTCTTGAAGGTGAAATAAAGAAGTTTTAATCGTGAACAGTTCAATGAATAATTAACATTAATAATATGCATTATAAATTTAAAGATATGTAAAACAATTAACTGCACTTAATAATATATAAAACTAGATATACATATGTAGTTAAACGATTAAGTCCACTAATTATCAAATTAGTTCATTACCCTCCCCTCATTTTTCCGGCTCTATTGTTAGCAATTTATCCCAAAAACGTGGCAGCATCCAAACGGAACAAATATACTTCATACAAAATATTTGAAATATTCCAAATCGTCGACCTATATTTCAAAGATTTGCTTAATGTATTTTGCCAAAATACAATTGGATACAAGTGCTGTGCTCGGCGCTTCATACCACGAATGTCAAACGGAAATGAGTCACACTGCCAGAGAGTGTGCGCCGAACACGATCAAAGAACCAATTACAAAGAACGGCCATTGAACGATCGGGTGTGAATTAAATACAAAAAAAAGACCGTGGAAAAATCAGCGGCAGACGACTGTCAGCATTTAGTAGATAGCAAAGAGCAGAGTAAGCTGGCTATAAACCATAAGTGCACTCACTGCCTGACATACAGAAACGGCCAATACAATCGCTCGTGCATTCCAAGAATGCCGAGAAATGCCTCAAAAACGGAGCTGATGCACAGGGAGAAATTAAATCAAAATATTATAAATACAAAATAAATATATCAAACTCATTTATATAACTATATTTCATATTTTGTATAATAACCAAAGATACTTTGCTTAGTAATCTATAAACATACTCATATTCATTGAACAAAAGTATCTATTAGAACGTAATATTTCTGAATTTAAGTGCAATTAAATTCTAAACGTTTTTAGCTGTGCATTTTCTTTAACTTTTTGGGTTCTATTACATTTTTATTTAAGCGCTTTGATTGGTTTTTCTATTGGCCAATGCTAGTGATCCAATAAGGTCACTTACAACTCCACCAGCAACTGCAGCAACGACTATTTCAACTGCAACCTGTGTGTTGTACGGCCAAGGACGGAAGAAATGTGTGTGAGAGGAGATCGGTGATCGAGTTGACGTCAATTAAATTGGCTAAATGCCTGAAACTAGTTTCAGCCCCGTTCACCAATGCGATTACATGACATGAAAATCAATCATTAACATTTGTATAACGCAGACATACGTATTTGGTAACCAGTGTCGATGTGGGGTCCCACCAACATTTCGACTTCGACGGGCCCCCGTTTTCAGTTGTATTTATTATTGTTTTCTTTATTATTCACTGCCGCTGTTATTATTGTTATTGTTTATTGTGAAGTTTTAATGGCGTTTTGTCAATTTGCTGTTCATTTTCATGGCTCATTATGGCATTTTATTATTTGCCTGCCTGCCGACATAAGAACCCATTAATATTTTAACGATCATTTATTAATAACAAGTGCCACAAGTGCGACACTTAATTGATTTGTTCAGCATAAAATAATAATTATATATTTCTATTTAAGTTAGATATGTGAAGTTAATGTCTGGTTAGGAGTTAGCGGGGCATGGCCATAAAAGGCGAAAATTAATTTTATTTGCAGACGGGCCATAAAACGACTCGCGGCCGTAAGCCTCGCGGTTGCATCAGCCAATTCCAATGTGAATTGTGTTGGCCATGATTCCGAGCGATTGCCGCCCCTCACTCCAAATGGAATTAATGTTGAGTCATACGGTGTAGTTAGTGTATGATAGATATGACACTGGCGATAAGCTGGGATAGTTGATAAGAAGCTGTGAATACGGTGGATAAAGTGCCCTGAGATATCACCCGCATGGAGTTTCCCTATGTGACTCCCCTTTTTTTCCTGGCTATATAGAATTCCCCTAATTTTTCACACTGTCATCATAATGCTCCAGAGATCGTGCCAATATAAATAAGCAATCGAAGAGGCAAAATAAACTAACCACCAGCAACTCAGTTTTGGGGCATTGAACTGCTGGAGGAAATAAGCCAAACGACACAAGTCGGGAACAGTTGGCAGATGTTATGGCACACAAACATACAATTTTATATGAAAGCATCGCAAAGTACATATACTATATGGATATATGAATAAATATACATATATGTATGTATGCATATGCATGGTAAAAGCATATGCATATTGTATATTCTATATGATATATGGCCAATGACTGCCACAGAGGAGCAAGGCGGGACGGGGCCGGTCTCTTGAATTCCCAACATCAAAGTCGTCGCGTATCTGCGAAATATATTTGTATCTGGACAAGAGTGGCAGTATCTTCTGCCACACATTAACCCCGGAGAGAGTGCGGTTCGATCCACACACACACAGGCCTAGTTGAGTGCGCCACAATTGCTTTTCAATTAGCCAGGGCGGCGGATCTCTTTCGGTTCTGAGGTGGCGCGTGGCAGTGATTTATCGCAGAATTCAATTAGAGCCACTTCAGACTCTGGCAAGCCGCAAAAGACGAAGGTCAATCCATTGACCGTTAATCAATAAATAGTGAGGGATCTGGGGGAAGACAGCAAGTTCGATTTGAACAGAGCCATTAAAGAGTGAAATTAAAAATGTTTTCACAACGTTTTTGCAAGGGTCAGAGAAGACTTCTTATGCAGATTATAAATAATTCATTTAAAAGCTCTTAAAATGAAAGAATCCTTATAAACACTCTTCCTTCAAAGAAATAATGTACTATATGCCAGTTCAAGATCTCTTCCTCTAGTCTCTACTCCACTTTGGACTATGATCTTGCTCAAGTCTAGATATGCCATCGATTCTTTCATTTGCCGGCTTGTCAGACTTGTCAATTGACCTGAATGTCTCCATTCAATTTTCCTTTCAATTGACGTCTTCCAAGCTGCTGTTTCAATCTCAATCTCGATCTCTCCGATTCTTCAGATGGATTCGAAATGCCACCAGTGCCTCCATGTGCAGAAAGACACACTTCGTCATGGTGTGCTCATCATCGCCAGCCTTTGGGATCATGATCTCTCCCGGCAGCGATCGAGAGTCTTTTCAAGTTCATTAACATGACACGGTCCCCCCCTTTGGGATTCCGTTCCTGAACTTGAAAAAAGAAAAAGTGCACGACGGCCCTTTGTTGGGACAACATGTTGTTTGCATTAAATACTATATGTATTGTACATATGGAGGACCGGGTGTTGATGTCAACAGCGATTGGTACTTACATTTAGTGACAGCTTCTTCATAGCGAACGATGTTTGATGTTGTCTGACGATGTTTGACGTTTGTTGTTTGCGTATTTGTTTGGGTTTCTAATTATTGTATAATGTCGAAACTGAATGTTTGCTTAAGTACTCTTGTTTGTTTTGCTGTTTAAGTACTTTGTGTAACACAGTTTTAGGTTATTATAGGTTTGCCTTATTTAAGTTGCTTTGCCGCAGATGTTTTCATTTAATTGGGGTTTATCTAAAATTGAAATGGAACTAATTAGAGGTATGATTTCCCACAAAATCAGGTACTTTTCCCTCGCCTGACAGTCTCTAATTTGATTTTAATCACAATAAACAATGAAGTTGTGCAATTTGGAGCTTAAGCACAAGATTGACAGCCATCACCGATCAAAGTCCCACAGATTGACATCTAAATTTGCCCCGTTTTTGTTGTACTCCATATAAGTCCATATGCAAAATGGCATTTGTTACACCGCCGCCTGATCGCTGATTGTCATTTATTGTTATTAATGTTGTTGCTGTCCGTCGTTGATTAAAATCATTTATATGCAGTGAGCAGGAGAGTGAAAAGGGAGGGGGCGGGTCCGATGCATATGCAATACATATATGCAGTAGCAGGGCCCAGTTGTTGTTATTGCTGCTGCAGCAACAGCTACTGTTGCTGCTGCTGCTGATGTTGATTTATTTAGCCGGTCCGATCGCTTCGTTCGTTGCATTTAAAATGTCGGAAGTGTTTGCACGCAAAAAGTATAAATACAGGAATACAACAACAACAACAAAAAAGCAGAGAAAACACATACAAAATTGTGTGTGTTTGCTCAGCATAAAATATTTCCTGTTGCACGCACAATTGTGCGATGGCAGCACGATAGACGCCGCCGCGATTTTATTGGAGATCTCGGATTCGATTCGAGGAAATGCCCAAAGACCAAGGCATTCCGCGGTCCCTTGTCCCTGTCTCTGTATTTTGGTCACTTATGACATCATCGCCGGATCAATATCGGTCGAATATCAACGAAAGTTGTTCTTGCCGATGTTCCACAGAAAGAAATTCAGCTTGAAAGCAAAATTAAATTCGCTCAAAAGTTAAATTGTCATAAAATTTATGTTTTGTCATAGAATTAAGGGATATTTTTCTTTTGAATGAAGAGCTTGAAAACCATTTAAGCCGTTTTAAGAGAAACCATGTATTTGAAATAAATATACTTAAATATGACTTGCGGGATTATGACTCTTATTTTTCTCTGCGTGTGTGGCGCACCCTTGACAACACAGAATAAAAACCGAGAGACACACAAAAAAGGCGTCCAGAATGGTGAAACAATGTTGGTAAGAAACTGGCATTGTTGCTGCTGCTGTTGGCTGCAAGGTGGCAACATCATGCAAAAACAACAACAACAGAAAGGGCAACACAAAAACGCCGGCCAGCAGTGATATGGCTATATCCAGAGATTGTTATTGTTGCTGACCAGCAGGTAGGTAGTTGGGATGCGATACGGATACCCGTTCCCGTTCCCGATCCCAATCCCAAGCAATTCGGTCAACTGACGCAGGCCGTCGAGACAAAAGACAGAGATTACAGATAAGCAATTGGTATTTGGTATTGGTTTAAGCACGCCCCGGCTTGGTTTTTTTGATTCGATTTTAGTTCCCCGCTGTCGTCACTTAAGTGCATCTCTGCAAGCCGTCAAGTCTTGACCAATCAGTTACATGCAGCGGCATTTACAAACGCATAAAGCTTATAATTGTTTTGTGTTTTTAATGTTTCCTCATCGTACACTCCCGGTACTTTTCCACATTCGATCTGATTTTTTCTGTGCGTCCAATTTGTAGCGCTTAATTTTTGTTAATGACTGCCAATTTTGAAAGCTGCTCCAAGTTCGAGTTTTGTGTGTTTTTTCTTATATATTTTTTGGTTATAATTAAACATTTAACGTTTATTACATTTTGGTAATTGTGTTTGCTGACGCCGCTTGCTTTCGGAAGGAAACTTTTCGTTTCGTTCGATTTCTGTGCTGGGCACAAACCGGCACGGGGTTACAGGTTACAAGTTACAGGTAACAAGTTGCAGGTGACGAGCTGTAAGTAGCAGGTTGCCGCCGCGATATTTATGAAACTCTTTCACTCGCGTTTTTCAATTTTGTTGCGCAGAAGTATCGCGATACACTTGCACACACACTTTTGGCATTTATTTGTATCTCAAGCGGAGTATCTCAACTTTGCGATGTTTACTTGTTGCTTCGGTTTTAAGGACTACGAAATTTAGCAAACTAGCTTATAGCCAGTGGGTATCAATCAAGGTAATTATACACGCACTCAAAATGCTGAGAGTAGAATCTCTAAGGAATCTATATATTTGTGTTAAAACTTTGCGAAATTAACACGGCGCACGAGCATCGTTTCAGTCTTCTTTCGATTTTCAAACTTGGCCCGCTAAGGAGAACCGTTCACGTTCGCTGTTGGTAAGCAATTGACCGGTACAACCACACGACACGAGTTTTATTCTCCAACGAATTATCAGCCAGTTTCACCAGACGACTGACTGTGCCCAAGCAACCTCTGCAGCAATGTTGCCAGTTTAACTTATTTCAGGCAAGACCTAGCATATTTGAAATTTTATAAGAAATATAAATACATTATTTATTTTAAGAATTATTAATTACGAATTATATTATTACGAATTATCTAAGGATTTAAAATAAATCCTTTTTTTAATTTCTCAAAATTCTTGAAATGTTTTGTTTAAGATTTCTTTTCAGGCAATTGTATATATTAATAATTAAATCCCTTCTGCAATTTTTTTAATTTAAATAAGCCAATAATAATGGATACACTCTTAGTTAAAGCATATTTTTCTGCATTTCTTATTTCATATTTAGCTTATTTTTGTTCATAACCTGACAACACTGACTACACGCCTTCGTTGGCAGAGCACTCGCAGCGCAGGCAACTGTATCTGTATCTGTAGCCGCTGATGTTGCTGTATCTGTATCTGTGTTGAGTGCTGCTCTTAAGCGATCTCCTGTTGCAGCAACATGTTGCCGCAACATGGCGGCCTCATAGATACATCTTGTGGTGTTCAGCTCTACGCTCTCGCTCTCACAACCACTTGTTGCGCCGGTGTAACTGTTCTTGGGCCTTAGGGATTCCCCCGCTCGTGTGTTCTGGTGTTGCTGGATCATCTGATGAAATATTAAGATAAATACTCAATGGCTAATCAATGCAATTACCCATCGTAACAATAATTGCAGAGCAATCTCCATTGTTTTTCCACGAGAGAGTGGGAAAAATGTGAGCCAAAAAATCTCAGGTAAATAATGACTCGGCGTATTGCAACCGGAACTTGAACTATGCGATCATGGTTTAAAAATATATTGTTTTGGAAAGGTATATTATCCATATTATACAGATGATGCCTTTTTTGTTATGGAATCTTTGAAGTTGTTAGGTTTCCAGTTAAAACGAGGTCTTTAAAGGGGATTGATCCTTTGCCTTGTACTTAAATAATATGTATATATTGTATCCTACTATAGTAGAAAAAGTTATAATAATTTACAACAAATTTAAATACATTTAATCTATCCTGAAATATATCAAATATAATGTAAGGGTTTTCTAGGATATAGATAAAGCTAGAAACATTTCTGGACGCTATAAGCCCATTATTAATATACAAATTATATAATTATAATATAAACCAAGATATTTTTTAATATAAAAACATTTTCCATAGAGAAAATACATTTTAAGATATAATATTTATTTTCAAATCATATCACTATTATTTTATCTTTTATCTGATTTTAGAAAAAATTAAAGACTATATTCAAAGCTTTAAAACAAATATTGGCAATTATAAAAAGCTAATTTAATTTAATTTAATTATTTGCTTTACAAATTTTGATGAGTAAGCGCAACAGAACAGAACCTCCCATAAAATGGTGTTAATTGCATTGATAATAATATGCCACCTTGCTGAAATTGCGTAGATCCCGGCCGCATCACTTGTCTGGCAATTACGACTGCACTTTTTATTGATTAATCTCATTAGCCGTAGTTAATCATGCATTCCCCTCTGCTCACCCCTGTGGGGGACATTCCCATTCCCACAATTGTTTTGTTATTATTAAACAGAACCGAATCCAATTAATGCCCCATTTTGGTCATTGCCATATCGGCTGGGAATATGGGCTCACGTTAGTGTCCAATTTGCATAATTCGCTCAATATGAAGAGTTTGTGCAGGAGAATATCCCGCGGGTAGCGTGTACACATAGTCGTGCTGACTCAGTTTTCCCATGGAAATGGAAAATAACCGATTAATGGAATAATTTTATTCGAAGGTGTTACGATTGTGTGACAGTTTACGGTCTTATATAACCCAGAGTTAAATGTTCTGGTTCACATTATGATGATAATTCCCAATAAGGTTACATGATTATATAAACTGAATAACGGGTTTGAAATAAATTACTGTAAGTCGATGGTAGGGGATACAGTTGTGGGTATATAATATAAAATATAGTGTAAAGTTGAGATCGGTAGCAGCTAACTATGCTCCGAATAGTATGCAACAAGAAAAAAGAAGAAATATTATGATTAGGGGTTAATAATAGGGGATATCTATTATACAATCAGAACCAAGTAAGTTCAATTAAATTATTTTATTCAAACATATTATTAAGACAAATTGATGATCCGATTTAAAGAGTTTCCCACACGCCTATGTATGCTGATCACTTGAGAATTAAATATAATGGCTGACGTAGAATAACGCACACACACACAAACAAACTAACGAACATAATGGGGCACAGGCACCCATTACAGAGATTTAAACAACGGAACCGGAAATTGCCTCAAGAGAATCTTGACGCACGCATACAAGCACACTCGACGGAATTAACTTACACATTCGGAGTGGATCGTTTAACTAACTAAAAAAAACAGGGCTGTGCTAATAAATAAAATCAAGAGATTGTACAAAAGTAGAAGTGAATTAATGATACGTAAATATATTCTTCCAAAAGCGTCGCTCGCTCAAACTACTCCTGACCTTGTAACAATTTCTTTTTACACGAATTCTCGTGCCCCTTATTGGGGGAAGAATAATACAGGGCCAGGGACAGGGACAGGGCCGTCGACTATTTACGAATATGCTCAAATGTTATTAACCTCCAAGTGGGCCAGTCCCAGCGATCCAGACAAAAGCTGAACTTGTAAAAAAGGGTGTGACATCGCTAAGTGCGACGGCAAACAATCAAAAATGTAAGCCGATGCATTTTAGCGAATGTCGATCGAAATTCACTGACGCAAATACCCCCCCTAGAAGTCGAATATTAAATTAGAATTGTACTAATAATATTGAAATGAAAAACCTTGTTTCACTATTAATAATTCCTTGAAATTAACTTAGAATTTATAATATAAACATTTCTTTATTAAAGTAACTCACAATAAGTATCTACTGTTTTTATTTTTCTGCGTGTATGAATTCGAATTCGCATTCGATGTGGAATATCGGTTTGGAGTTCGGACTCACCTTAGGCGCTTGTTTCGGGTTTGATGCGAAGTTGGCTGCGGACTGGGCCACCCAAACTTTCAGATGGCTTATCGCTCCTCCAATGGATGATGCGCTGACTCTCCTGGGATCGCAATGTTGGACTCTGGATGGTGGGTGTATGCTGGGTGCCGCTGGGAAGGGGGATGGTGTGTGCAGCAGCAACAAACTCGTTTGTTTCTTTTACACTCCTTCTTTCGAAACGAACTTTTATGCCCGCGGCGATTCTCTGGCACTTGGGTTTATCGCCATTTTGTGTGGATTTTCGTTAGGTCTTTGTGTTTGTTGTGTGTCCGCTGATAACGCGTCACAAGGGGCGTCATAAGTGGGCGTTCCCGATCGACTTTCCGTGCAAAGGGGCAAAGGGAAACGATGTAACTTCACTCGCTCCACTCCACCTGGTGCTCCCCTTGCATTTTCCTTTCACACGCGTCACTCTCACTCTTTCTCCCGTTTTAAGCTCTCACTCTCTTCTTTCTCACCCACTACTCTCTTGAGTTTTCTGTTGTTTTGTGCGTGGTGAAAGAGCAGCAAGAGTGGCCAAAGCAAAACTGGCGATAATCGCAGCAATGAATGGGAATGAATGTGAATTGTCGCTTTGCTTTGCTGTTTGTTTGTTTGGTGTTGTTTTTGTTGTTGTTGGCGGTAACTGATCTACACGCACTGAACTAAAAAGAGAGCAGGCAGACAGGCCTACTCCCACTCTCCGGCTCTCTAGCTGGCTCGCTTGCACACTCTCTTTGGGGCCTTTAGTGACATTCAGTGCCAGGAGGATCGCACACACACGCACACACTACTGATGATGGGGTATCTTTGTAAATATATTTCCACATAATTGACACTCCACATCGATGGTACAACACTGCGAATTTGCAACGCCAGCGCAATTCTCACGTTCGCACTGATTATTCACACATTTGTACAATGCATATAATACATACAATACATATATTTGCGTATTTATTTATTTATTTAGCTCGTGTATTGCCAAAATATTTGCTTCGCGCACAACAAATATTTTCACACCTATTCGTTCGCCGTCGTCTATAGTTGCATATCTATAGGTAATATATATATACATATATAGAAGTTCCAAGGCAACGGACGCGATCGCGACACAAGGATTTTCCGGCGAAACCGAAGGAAAAAGAGGAAAAACACCAAACCGTATGAGAAGCGAAGCAGACTAACTGCAAACATGAAATGTCAAAATGCTGGGGACCGTTCTGCCATGCACACAAACACACACACATCCGCACACCACGCAAACATCATGTGAGGGAACGTGGGGGATTGAAAAGTTTGCAGTTTGATCAATTCGCAGATTATGATTATGAGGAATCACATATAGTCAAACAAGCTTATTAAATGAAAATAAAATGTTATGCTTTTGAAGGTATGTACATATTTCAATTTGTTTTACTTTGCAACCTAAATTAAACAACAACTTACAGTAAAAAATAAGTATACAATCTTTGAATGTCCCGACGGAAGTATATCCCCTTATTTTAAAAAGCATTGCCTACTTTCCGGGGAGCTTAGGTAAAAGTCCTCTGTACTCCTGTATATAAAAACGTAATATATGCTTTCAAAATAAGAAATTCTTCAAGGCATTTTGAATTTCTTGAGATTTTCGAATGGATATAAACTTGATTCTTAAGTGTCCATATATAAACATCTCTAGAAACTGCCGTAGCAACCTCCTTTTGGTATATGGAACGCTTGTTGCTCATAAGAGCACGCATGTGCCAGCGGCTTGATTCGCTTTTCGTTTCGTTTTGTATGTGTGTCTGTCAGACAATGCGGCCCCAAATCTTGCCCACTGTCTCACCCCACTCTCCCGCCACTACCCCTTGCGGTATATGTGAATGAGGAGACAAGCGCCTCTAAGGGGTCTTTAGACGAACAAAGGAAGTGGTTCGGGGTGATAAGTCCATATTCACATCCCATCCACTTCCAGAGGCGAGTCATGGTCGTTGTTTATCGGGCTATCGGGGTAACTGTCCCCCATTCGCCTGCATTCATTGGAAAATCGACGCCCCTGCTCACTGACTTGAGCTTACCGTGTCACGCACACACACAAGCCCACGTACGCTAATTGAAATTGAAGCATGTAACTGTAAGTTAGGTTCTCGCGAAGAAAACGTGAGCATACGCCTGGTTCTCTCTCTCTTTCTCCCTCTCTCTCCTTTTGAGAGAGGCACAAAACAGCTCCTCCCACACATACAACACACACATGGAAATGTATCTCAAGCTTGGAAATGCAGAAGATTCGGAAGAACAACAACTAAGACTTGAGTTCGAGTTCGACTTCGACTTCGGGCTCCCTGTGAATGCTTGCTGTAAGGCGTATGTGTAAACCGTTTGCGTCGCAAATTATTGTCCATTTCCGTTATGTCTCTGTCTCTTCGGTTGTCCGCCATTCCGTCTGTTTTTCCGGAGCACCCGTGCAATCAATTCTAGAAGCTGGGATCACGGATCGAGGGTAAACATACGGAAGTACTGCTGCAACTCTAAATTTAAAACCGACTTTTCAAAGTCAAAGTTCGACACTTTCATGGCTATTTTAAATATTTATTAAACTCTTTATTTTAAAAGCAGCTCAAGTATTGCTATAAAATCATTAAAAAAGAGTTCACGAATTTGTAAAGTAACAACTTTATATTTGCAACCTTTGGAATTAGACCATTAATGGTGTTACATTTTAAAACTACGCTCTCGCTTATTAACAAACTCCAACCATAACTAATACAAATGATTTCGAGTACAAAAAACGTATTCAAAATAATAAAAATAATATGCAAAGCACAAGAAAGTAGGAAAATGACTTTCGAAACTTTGTTTTAATAACTTAAAGTGATAGAAATGAGTTGGAATTTATTGTGGGACACCGACACAGTGGCTGAGGTCTTGAAGTTCGTCTCGGCACTTGTGTGACCACACAATGTATGTAGGCTTGTTTGCAATTAGATTTACGATCATTCTGCGCACAAGCTCTGCCCTCGGATCGTATATCACGCATACGATCGGTCTTTATTCTTATATGCATATTGCCCATTCGAGTTTTGTTTGCAATAAAATATTACGTATACGCCCGGCAGGCGGAGTGTCAACAAACTTGTAATGCGACACAAGTGTGATTCAATGCGCCAACCCCGGCTCAGAATAGATATACCGTGGAGTTATGTGCCCCGGACAAGGTTATATAATGCAGCTAGTGGCAGTTCAGTCGTCCCACAGCAATATAGTAAGAAATGACTTGACTTTGACCGGTCGGTCAATTTAGCTGCAGTTGAGCGGACCATTTAATTGCCGCTTTCAGATCTAAATGAGCGGCACACACGCAAATAATAATGATAAAATACTCGTAGAAACACGGCCACTTGAGCGGCATGGCACACATTGTAAGGAAATGCCAGGCACAAGTCTCAGAGATCAAGATTCGGATGCGGATTCGGATTCGGGGCTCGGATTCATACTCCGACTCGAGCACTTTCTCAAAGAGCCTCGCAAAGGTCAGAGCGAAAACGATCTGCAGACATAGCGTATATATCTCGGTTCGTGACTCTGACTCGTGATGGGCACTTAGGAAATCCAGATATAACCGATGCCATTTAAAGCCGCCTCGAGCCATCGCCGCCGTCGCCTGCTCGCAACATAAATAGCAATTTCAAACAATTTTCAATTGCCAAATGCCCGCGACGATGGCTTTTCCTCTAGCCGCCGACGCCGCCAAAACCCGTTTCCACTTGTAATTGAAACTAGATCTATTTTTAGACCCAGCCAGCTCAGAAATTATTGCCAAAGCGGCCCACGGCCCACGATGCACACACACGCGATTCAACCACAAGCGATCGTTCAATCGATTGCCGGCTTTATATTAGCTTTATATTGGTTGATTTGGCACAGGACAGATTACAAGTACTCTAATAGAATAATAATTATTAAGCAATAAATAGGTTTATGTTTTATATCAAGTTACATAAGTTCTTAACAGGAATTTTTTCTGATTGAATTAATTGTGGATTTATGGTGATTGTTAAGTCAAATAAAACAAGAAAGTAAATTATTCCCTTGGAGTTATTTCAGACCTAAGCAAAAAATGCATTGATTTTAATTTGGAAAGCTTTCCTTTGTAAGTTTTTATTAGGATAATACAACTGAATACTCTATTTAAATGTTTTATCAATTTGTGAAAATTTTAACGAAGTAACCCCTTATAAAATTTTGATAAAATTGGTAAAAGATAACTTTTTCTGCCGGAGATAGTAGTTAGATCGACTCTCCTGTTGATGCTGATCCAGAATGTATATTATTTACAGGGTCGCAAATGACTCCTTCACTCATTGCAAGCATTTGACAGAATTTTCAAAACTCTGCAAGGGTATAAACACCTTAGAGGGTGGAAATTAATTAATCGAGGTTATGTTAGGATTTCATTGAAATAGAACATTTAAAGAAGTCAAATTTCACTCTGTCACAAAATGTTCTCTATTTATAGAGTTTACTATCCAATTGCACTTCCCCGATCATATAATATCCGGTGTTTGCTTGCAGCACGTATGTATGTACTCACCATTCTGATAGCCCTTTCAAATCGGATTTTAACGGATTAAAAGACTGTATATTTCCGGACAAGACTACCACTAAACTGTGTCGGTGCCAAAATGTTTGCGAAACTTCTGGCCAAGTCGCTTTTATACCGCCGCTGCTCGCATCCAGCGGATACCATGGCTTTGGGGTGGTTGGTGGTGGTACCGATGTTTTTTTTTTTTTTTTTTTTGCATAATACGCGGTTAGTATTGGCTGATTACAAAGGGCCTCGAGTCACAAACACACAATCCAAGAAAAGACAAGACAAGAGGCAGGGCAAGACAACTCAAACTCAAACAGAACTCAAACTGAACTCGAGCCATGAAAGCCGTATAAATTATACGATTGTATCCCCTTCAGAGTGTCTGTTCTGGTCATATGATTATGATTACGTTGATTAAAACGCGCTCTTATCGTCACTTGGTCCGCTGCTGTGTGTTAATGTGTGTCCCATGCCGAGTGCCACTCCCGTTCTCCTCCAGCATCCGCCTTCGCCTTCGCCTCCGCCCGCTCAATTGCAATTGCTCATACGCCGCGTTGGCGACAGGATAACCAGATGCTCCATCAGTCCCGCCTTTCAATTTGCTCACAAAAGGACGTCGTTAGGCAAACGAATGATGGACTCATTATGCACATCGAAATGCGCTTATAGACGACAGTTCAAGGCTTTCCCTTTCGTATGAGACACATTTGCCTTTAAAGATATTTAGGTATAAGATCGAAATTATAAATTTACGTATTTATGTAATTTGTTTATTGTATTATAAAAGTTAAAACAAATTATTGAGAATGCATTTTTTGGAAGATACATGATGAATTAATTTTTAAATATGATAAGGTAAAGCGCTCATTCTTATTTCCATTTAAAACTTAAACTTATTCTTGCCATGATGTCCATGCCCATGACCATGTCCATGGCCACCTCCGCTTCCGCCTCCACCGACAACGACAGGTTTGACCACTACCACAGGCTTTACAATGACGGGCTTGACAAAGACGGGCTTTGGCTTCGTGAATTTGGAAAGCAACTGGCTGGGATCCGATAAGAACGCCGGCTTTGCCTTGGTAAGTTTTTCCGGAAGATTGGCGAGCAGCTGGCTGGGATCCGGTAAGGAGACAGGTTTCGGCTTGACGAATTTAGCAAGCAGCTGGCTGGGATCCGGAAGAGATGGCTTGGCTTTCTCGATGGCAATCGTGGCCTGGACCCTGCAGACACACAGGCAGAGAGCCATGGACAGGAGCAGTAGATAACTCTTGAGCAGATCCATTGTGAGTGTGGCTACTTAGCTGGGGAAGCATCTATTTATGGTGCATGATGTTAATGCTCCAGTGTCCAGTCTACAGGCTTCATTTGCATGCAGCACCTGACCGATCCTCTAGAGCTTTTATTCAAATTTAAACCAATCAATCGATCGAAACTCTTCAGACAGTCGGCGGCAACAGCGGCACGAGTAGTTCTGTCGGAAGAATTCCCCAGAGTGTAAGTTGAATTCACAATTACCCGGGGGGCAGGGTTTTCCTTCTCGTAACTCTGCGCGACATGTATTCCATGATCAGATTGAAGTTGACATTCAGCAGACGCTTTGCGAGATTCAAATCAGACATGACGTCTTTAGCTCCCGAGATTGGCATACTTAATGTGTGCTAATATCAGGAGTTGACATAATTTCTTGATGATTTTCTTGATAAATTAAATAAAAACAGAAGGCGGAAGTAGAGCTAAGAATTGAGCAAGAATGGAAGAGTACCTTATAATGTGTTGTTTATAATATAAATTGAGTCATTTCAAACGTTACTTTTAATTTTATTTTTAAATGATTATTTCGTATTATTCCTAGTTTATTCTTTATTTAAGACTTTACTGTTTTTCTGTATTTTAAATAAAAACAAAATATTTAAAATCAAACATGCAAAACGTATGCTACACTTTCAAACGCGAAGACCAATCGATATCCCTTTATCGATTAGTTGTATCGATTACACTGTTTGGCCTTTATTCCACAATTACACAACACTGCTCGAAAAGGTAAGAAAAAGAAAAACAATTGTTGGTTAAACAAAGCTCATTTATTAGAGATAATCCCATCGCAGACAGATATGGACGACAGCGTTATAGTAATAGACGACAGCGTGGTAACCGTAGAGGACGACGTGGAAGATGGCGAGCTGGAGGACGACATAGTGTGGCTTCCCGCACCCGAGACAACAACAACAAATGAGGACAAACGGCCGGCTACCAACAAATCATCGAAAAATGAGCAAATTGAAAGCAATCCAAGCAGTCAGGTAAGAATAATATTATATATAAGGATGATGGGTTAATAAAAGCTATTTTGCCTCTCAGGAAAACAACCAGGAAGAAGAAGCTACCGTGATCTTTGAAGTAAGATTTTCGAAGAAGGAGCGTTATGCAGGCCTTCAAAAACAAATGCTGGAGCTTCTAGAAATCACATTTGCGGAAAAGCAGCTGTTTTTCAAATTAAACGAAGAAGAGCGACTGATAAGAGCCTTTGAAAATAGCAATTTTACGATTGAGAAGTCTCCCTCTCCGGATCTGAACATCGAAGACCTCTTTATGATTGACATCAAGCCAGCCGCCAAACTGAATGCCTCGCAGGTGCCCTCCTACAAGCGCAGTGCTGACGTGCTGGACGAACAGACCGAAGCTCGGAAGAAACTCAAAGCAGAGGCGGTGAACAAGTGCTGCCGCCCCAAGGCCCAGTCCGCCTGCTTTAACTGTGGCGATACGGATCACTCCATACGCGACTGTCCCAAACCGCGAAACAATGCACGAATTCAGAGGGCACGAAAAGGAAGGTGGAGAGGTATCACATAGACACGGAGCAGCGATTTGGACACATAAAGCCCGGCAGGATCAGCACAAAAACCCGTCACGCCATAGGTTACGCTCGTGGCGAGCTGCCCTTCATGTACTACAGACTACGAGTTCTGGGCTATCCGCCCGCCTGGCTAGAGGAGGCCAAGGTCCAGAGCTCGGGCATTGCTTTGTTCAATGCTGATGTAAGTGGCTTCTATATCATATCAGTGAATTGCTTTAGTTGACAACGGTTTTGCAGGGCACGGAAGTCACCAAGTCCGACGACGAAGACGGGGAAGCAGACACCTTCAAGTACGACATCAATAAGATAGTTGAGTTCCCGGGCTTCAATGTAGAGCCCAGCGGCAAGTTCTTTGATGTAGCTATTAGCCTCCATATCATTTATTATTCCGCTAATCCTCTGCTTCTTTGAAGGACTTTCAACATCACAATGTTCCGCCGTTTCAACCTGATCATTCTAAAGCGAACTTTATCAAATCCCTCGGCGAGAATGTGACCAGCGGCTACAGACGCAAGAAGCTACTGGAGCTGCCAGCTACCCACGACGAAGAGCCTGTTGAGCAAACCACTCTAGGAGACTGTGACATGGAGATAGTTGACGAAGCCGAGGATCCGCCACTGCCCGCCTCGATGCCGACGCCGCCGCCTCCGCCACCCGAGCCCATAGAGGAGAAGCAGGAGGTGCGTGCTCGCTCGCCATCACCAACGCTGGAGGATTTGAGAGAGCAGCAAGAGAAGCTGCTGCTCCAACTGGAGTGCAATACATCGCTGAATAGCACGGCGAATGACTCAACTTCCCTGAATACCCTGGACGACACGGTCGAACTGGAAGCCACAGGCATTCCACAAACCCAATCCGCGACCGCAATGCCCGGCGGAACGAGAGCTTCTCCTCTGTCTTCTGCAAAGAAATTTAAGGCCTCGTTCGACGGAACACCTGTGCTGAAGTTCTCCGTTTTTGACAAACTGCCCGAGGGCAGTAACTTCAAGGTGGGCGTCAGCGATGTCATTAATTTCGAGAATCTGCCTGACTCCACGGGAAAGTATGAGCAAATGAAGGATCTGCTAAAGAATGTGCGCGAAAAGATGGTAAAGCTGCAGAGCGAGGATTAACACTTCAATTAACTCGTAAGTCAAGTGTACAAAGTTTACTCTATCCCTCCAAACGATTAAGCAATACAAGTTAGTTTCCAAAGTGTATTTTCAAAAATTTTGGGATAATAAGCCTGTGTGTACTTGTGTGTGCGGTTGTGTGTGTTTTTCTTTCTTTTACTTTTTTGTACAATGTCAGTGTGATGTATAATTTGTCTAATCTTTGTAAATCGGCTCACAAAGGATTTCACCAATCTACAACTATATATTTATTGTTCTGATTCCAACCGAATTGTGTGGAAAATGTAGTGAACGCCTTGTCTCGCCATATAAACAAACAATAAGTAAGGAAATGCAATTGCGAATTGTGGAGAAGCTCAGGTTTTGGTGGAAGCAGAGATCCACGCTCGACACCATCTCTAGTTGATGGCCGGCGGCGGCGGTTGTGGGGGCGGCGGCGAGCCGTCCTGGTTGTTATCACGCCGGCCGCTTGCTGGCTTGTTGCTGGTCAGCTGGCCCCATGTACTCGGATTCAGTATATACATGAACATGGCCACGATCATGAAGATCATGGCAACGGTGAAGCCATTGTCCTCGCCGCCACCCACGGTCTGCTGCTGCTGCTGCGTACGTCCGGTGACTGCAAAAGGGATTTGGAGATTGTGTTAGGCTTTGGAGGAGTAGCCCCACCGAAATATGATCGAGGTTCTTTACTTGAAAGAGCTTCTAATTAAAGCTTATCAGTAAAGTTAAAGAAAAGACGTAAAGGCAAACAATTTATCATACAAAAAGAAACCAAAGCTGTTGGTAATCACTTATCTTTAACACATATTCTGTATTAATTTAAGAAATTAAGATGGTGAACTATCAACAAAAAAATTGTTTACAAGCTTTTCTTTTAATAATAGGGAGATTAAAACCTAAAAGGACATTAAGAATGTGAGCCTAGTGCAAGGAAACATCATGTATGTAAATTTATACATTTTTACATTTACATACATTTTAAATTTAAATTAAACTTAACAAGGTTCGATTTTTAAGAATATAAAACAATACTTTTTGTATATTATAAGTAGTAGTATTTAACGTAATAATATAACCACGAACTACATAAAAACAATAAAGCCATATCAAAGCAAAGAGAAAAGGAATGTAAACAAATTAAATTAAAAATCACAAAAGATATATGTAACAAAATAAATATGTATAATATTAAAAGATAAAATATTAAAGTAAAGTAGAATTAACCCAGGGAAATTCGACCCAAAGGACACGAGAAAATTAAACTAAAGGACGACTCACCGTCGAAGCACTCGGTGTCCGTGCAGGCATTCTGGTTCTGGCGTATCTATAAGGAAAGGTAATCCAGGAGGGATTAGGACCAGCAGGACAGTGGAAAGGACTCAAGAGCCTGGGAACTCACAAAGTTGATGAGCCGCTGCATCGCATACTCCTGCGACCAGACGCACTCGCAGCCATCGAAGTCGTCGGACATGGTTTTCGGATGGAAGACAGCCGGGGTATTAAGAGCTTGAGCCTGGCAGTTGCAAAAAGAAAGTTAATTAATAATATTTTCGTGATGTTTTGCGCAACTGACGTGTCTCTCGAACAGAGTACAGGGAGAGAAATGTGTGTTTTGAAGCGAAAAGAACTCAGCTGAGACTAATTCAGGCCCCAATCGAGCTGCGCTACGTAACGTCACTCTGTGTAGTATATGTATTCATATATATAAATTCCGATAAAATGGCTATATAGGTCCGTGAGAGCGGCGGTCAGAGAGTGCTTCGAAATCGGACGTTACGTAGCGGACTTACTTTTGAGTGAAACTGTTCCGATTTGGATTATTGAATTTCAATATTATCAGCAGAGTCTATATTTCGAATTCGAAACTGACTTAAGTGGCAAATTTAAAAAAATAGTGTCCACCCCAAAAATTTAGTTTGAACGCACACACAAGTACAACTCCCCCCAGTGTGTGTTTTTTTGTTTTCTGTATGTACTCACTAGTATTTGACATTAAAAAAGAAGATTAAACAGAAAACCCACTGCAAGACGACAATTTTTAATCATTGTCGAAACACGAAATGCTTATCACAATTAAGTACAAGGTCTTGCCATTGCGAGAAATTATTTAGAAGTGCCGTTAAAACCTTATCGAGGTTTCCAAAACGTAAACACAACTTTCCCAAATTGTTGTTGTTCTTCCAATTGGAGGCGTAAACAAACGGAATTTGCAGTGAAATGTTCACTACCTTGAAGTTTTTCACACTCTAATTGGTTACGCAGACATGTCTATGGTCGTTGTGGATAAATTATGAATTATTAATTATGCTTTTTACCTCTGCAGCGTAACTTGATTTTTTTTTTTGGTTTATTTTTTTTCTTACCAACTGGAATGTAGTGATAGTGATGGACAACCCTCTGATAGAATATATCGATACATCGATGTCAGCTATGATACTATTTCCCCCCCTGTTAACTATCGCTGGATTATGCACGTGAAAAATAAAAACATTCAAATTTAAAAATTATTTACTGATTGAAGTCAAAACGAAACAATATTACATGTTATTACCATATTTACCCTGAAAATCTTGAGTAGTAGATTTCCACAAAGAAAATAAGCAAGGATATCGCTAATCCAACAAACCACAATGCGAATGCAAAGTAGTAGAACTGAAGATCAAAGGCCTTGGCCGGAGGCTCCTCATCCCGCATTAGTGTATACATCTTTTGCTTTATCATTACCCAGAAGGTGTCCTTCTTCATTTTCATATTTATCCCATGCTCCTGGAGTCGGAACATGAACTCGCTAACCAGTCCCAGATAAGGCAAGCTCCTGGACACATAAAATCCTTCGAGACTGTAGGTCACACCCTGGCGGATCACATCGAAACGCGGCGTCTTTAAGAGATCCTGCTGCATCAGGCTCAGCTCCAAGCGGTCCTCGAATGATAAATAAATATAACTACTGTTGAGATTCTCGCGATAAGCCTTCATCAAGGTGACGTTAATGGTCACGGCCTTTAGACGCAGAGCCTCGGGCAGAAAGGTATTTTCCCGAACTTGCTTTAAGAATAACTCGTCGTGCACACTGGGATAGGGGGCATCGGCTAGATCCTCTATGGTCTTATATTGTGGCTCGGACAAGCCCGATGTCAGGATGCTGGAGAGCGTAGCCAGATATAGATTGGTGAGCATGAAGCCACCAAGAGTAAGGATCACATGGATCAGATGATCCCTCCAGCCCGCAGTCCTTATGGCTTGATTGCACGTATTTAGAATGTGGCTTAGACTGTACAGCAGACATTTGCCGATCTCGGTATGATCTCGTCCAGAACCAAGATACAGCATCAGGGCACCATAGAAGACAGTGAAGGCTACGACTAGCCACAGAGACCATCGGAAGGGTCGCGAGTAGTAGAGATAACTGGAGATGGGTCTGGCATGAGGAACTATGAAGTATGACGTCAAGATCGATAGTGGCTCTGTGTAGGGAATATCCCACTCTAATTGCAGATCTTTATAGTAACAAATCAAGTCGACCTCTTTCTGTAATGACATTCTTATCACTACGAGATACCCTTCGTAATCCGATTTAGGTTCTTCAGATATCGATACACTCTTAAGTGAGGCATTGTATCGCTCTATGAACTCATTAGCGGCAGCGAATAGATATCCTCGCCGGACCAGTTCATTCCGATCGTTGTAATACTCAAAATCACGAGGAGGTATTCTGCTTCGAATTATGCGAACGGGAAATCCTTTAAAATTTCGAATTGTTTTTCCTCTCTTTAAATATTCGCTGACATTTGCTAATTTAATTGGTTGAATCGATGGGTACGGTAAATAGCTGTAGAGACGATCGTCATGTAACAGAATCACATTGATGAAGCCCTCCTTGTAACAGTAGGTATAAAGCTGCTTTTGGAGAAATTCAGGATCCTTCTTGGTTAGAAATACTATATGCAGCTCGTTGAGGCGATCCAACAGTAGAGGCAGGAAATCAGCCACTTTGGGTTCCAATCCAAAGTCCATTAGTTGTACTATAATTAGGGCTTGGCTGGTGAAGTTTCCACGAAGGCGAAGATTTAAAGATTCGCTAGACTTCGAGGAAAGTTGGATTTTAGGCGTACTAGAGTCCTGGACGACGAAGGAATCCTCAATATCGACCAGCACATTGAGTTCAGTTTGAAAGGCGAAATTAAGTTCACGTAGCACTTGGTAGGGCATCAAATCTAGAGCCACGACAGCCAGAAAAAGATTCGACATCAATAGGATTGAAATCATTTTGACTTTCTGGTTTGTCTTGGTATAAGGGTCTATATGTTCCTATTACGCTTTAACGTAACCTGTAATTGAAAGCAAATTTAACAGTTTTTAATATCCTGTATTCAACTGTAAAATTTCGCAGAAATTACTTTAATTACCTAATGGAAATATTAAGGGAAGCGCTCACGCGTTTAATTTCTTCAACGGTGTACCCAGATATTAACTCAGAATTAATGCATTACAGTCACGTAAGTGTAAAACACTGGACAAAGTTATAAAGTTATAACTATATATAAAAGGATGGTTAACGAAAAGGACATGAATGAAAGGACTACATCCAACGGAACAAAAACCTTTGTTTTTGTGAATATTGTTAAGTCATGTAGGTATTGAAATAATCCTATGCTATGCACAGAAAAGGGTGTTAATTGGCCTAATTAATCTTAACCAAGAAAATACTCTCTTATTATTTCTATTATTTAGTGAATTTTGTATTTACTTACAAAAAGTAACAAAAACTGCATACACTAATTGCGACTTCGACTCAGACCAAGGCGACGGGACTTGTTTGGTGGCATGCAAATCGGCGACATATCCTCTGCATTGTGTTTAGTGGCTGTCGAGTCCTGGACATGATTCATGTTTCTATCCGCCAGCGGAGTACTTGTAGAAGATGGCATTGCAGCTAATCGGGATTTAATCGGGGTTATTGTATTTCCTGCCAGAGTTCCAGTTGGAGTGCGGCTCCGCTTACGCCGTTTACTCAGCGTCAAGAGGTTACGGCGGGCTATCACTGAGGTCTTGGTTTTCTGATCCAGCGGCGAAAGGCCAGCTAGTTGTGTCAGTGAGGCATGAATCTCCTGCGACTGGATGGGTGTTCCAAGTGCACTGTGACACGAGGTCGTCTTGTGCACTATACGACGGATTTCCTGACGATTTTGTTCTGGTGGTGAGTTGGAAATCTTGCGAAGCCTCTTACTAGAGGGAATGCCATCATAGGTATCCCTTCTCTGCCTGGGTGTGGACACTTTTGAGTCATCTTTAGTGGTCTGGGACAGCCTGGGAAAAATAGAATCGTTGCAGTTAGAACGTTCTTCTTCTATGGAGAGTGGAAGTATTCCGTTTTCGGGAAAGCCTTTAAATTCTTCACCAGAAACATTATCTGATATATCAGAAAGGCACTCATTATCACTAGATAGCTTTTGATTCTGATTAACTTCAGATCCTGCGTGTACGTCTGCCATTAATTTGGCAGCTTTGCTTTTCATTTCCTCCGATATTTCAATGCGTTTGTTAGACGCTGTTCGGAATCCAAAGAATTTTGGATTATCGTCTGAATCACACGCCGTATTTTCAGCATTTAAACATATATTTTGAGGGCTTTCTGCTTGGAATTCTGTCATAAATTTTGCAGCTTTGGCCTTCATTGCTTCTGAAACTACAATAGCTTTGTTTGAGGCAGTACGAAAGCCAACAAATTCTTCATTGCTTATAGCTGAGACAGCTTCGTCTTCGTTTTGTTGATTCGAACTGCTGGCTTCTACTTTAGCTTCCCTTTTTATGCTTTCGGAAACCACAATCGGCTTGTCAATAAATTCTGTATTGCCAGTGTCTTTATAAGCGGTGCCCTCGTGCTCTCGGTTTGATACTACAGTCTGAAATTCAGCCATAAACTGTGCTGCCTTAATTTTCATCTCTTCTGAGACCACTATCGGCTTGTCAGAAGCTGTACGAAAGCCAACAAATTCGGAGTTAAATTCAACGACTGCCTGGACTGCAGCAGCCTTTCTTTCCAACTCCTCACCTCCTTCATAGGCTCTATTAATTGGCTCCTTAATTGGAATAACTTCCGTATTCTGAAGGCTACGCCTTTGACTAGGTTGATATAAACCAGACTCCACTTCAGCCATCAACATATCACCCTTGACTTTCATTTCCTCCGCAACTTCCATGAATTTGTAAGGAGTTTTGCGGAAGGCAACAAGCTGAGGTATATTCACAGACTGGCTTCTACTTGGCGTCTTGGTTTCAGGTGGCTTCAAATGACTAATATTAATTGATTGATTTAATTCTTCTTTTTCGGGAACCTTAGTGGTTTTCTCTGGTATATCAATTGGTTCCCACTCGCTGAACGCAATGTTCTGGAGAATTTTAGCGTCGTTTGATTGACTTAGTTGATCGCTGGTTTGGAACTGAGCTATGAACATGGCACCTTTGCTTGCCATCTCCTCAGTAATCTCAATGGCCTTGTTGGAGGCTGTTCGGAAGCCAACAAACTCTGAGGATTCTGTGGCTCTGTCGCTTGGTGGCTTTGGTTCAGTTTCGTCAATATCTGCCAGCAATTTGGCGGCTCTTTCTTTCATTTCTTCGGAAATCACAATGGGTTTATCAGAGGCTGTGCGAAAGCCAACAAACTCGGGAATCTCCATTGGTTGCCACTCATCCAGGGGATTTCTCGGAGAAATTCCGCGTCACTAATGCACTTGGAAGTACATCCTTTCACTGTTTCTTGAGATTTGTCCTCGCTTGGCTCTTTTTTACTTCTTTTTGGCTTAACTCTGGGGTCTCCTTGATTGACTCGTCTGGAATATCCATTGGGGTTTGCCACTCACTGATGGGGATATCATCCAATAAATTTTGTGTGCAGCTCTCGGGATCCTCAGACTTTGCTCCAATTAGCTCTGTTTTTACTTTATCTATCAATAGTAGCTTTGCTTCAAGTTCCTCATCATTTAGGGAGATCTTTTCTGTGTTATAGTTCTCCAAAATCGAATCTCCTTCCGACCAATCTGCGCAGACTTTAGAATCTGTGGAAATTCGGTGAGTGTTAATGATTTTTACAATATAAAGCAATATATTAATAGATGAGCTCTTACCCAACTGGGACTGAACAATGGTTGTGCTTGCCTTGCCATCATCAAAAAGAGTGTCGCCTAAATTGCCTGGAGCTGCGGGTTAAAATAAATATATATTTTAAGACCATTGCATATAAAATCTTACCTCTAGGTTTAATATCACAGATTTCGGTGGCCTCAAAGGTAAAACCGATCCCTAATAAATCGGTCTCCAGGTTATCCAATTCAATCGATGTGCACTCCGCGGATGAATTCGTATCCGAAAGATTACTACGCTGTTCCCGGGAGCACGAGGGTTTCGAACGATCTGGATCTACTTTAGTTGGAAGATCAATTTCTATACTAACAGCCGGTGGGTGGTCTTTGTTAGGATGAGAATTGGAACTGGAAGTGGGGTTGCTTAGAGAAAAGTATTGACTCAGGTTGAGTAAATTTTCACAGATTTTCTGCGAGGTGTTGGCATCCAGCTCGCATACAGACGTGGCCCTTGGAGCCGTGTGATCCTCCTGCACGGAGAGGCCTGAGGAGCAGCTCAGCCGATCGTCTTCCCCTTCGTCGTCGGCTTCAATGGCAACGCTTAGCACATTTTGCTGTGGAGAAGATTGTTTTCTGGCGTAGGTTCTCATCTTTTTTTTGCGAAATCGAAACCATGGCGGTGACTCGCAGGTGAGCAGGTCCTCTTCCTCCACGTACGTCGGGGAGGAGCAGAAATCACGCAGAATCATGTCGACGATTTCTTGGCCGGGTGCGGGTTCAGCTTGGGTTCGGAGGAGCTCCTCCATGGAGATGAACTCACTGGTGGCGGCCACTGTCCGGTTCTGCTTTCGCATTTGCAAGGCGCGTAAGCTATCCAGGCGATCCACATCATATATATTGGCCACTTCGGCGGCTATATTTCCAAAATCTTCATGACTCTTAGGTAGCGTTGCAGGTGGATTCTCTCTTCTCAGGCTACAATGGCTGACATAACTTGTGGTTGGAGGACTTCCCGGCGCCTTGTCCATGTTGTGCTTAAGCTAATTAAATTGAATTTAATAAATTATCTGGCAAAAACAATATTATTATTATTATTATTATTGCATTCCGATAGGTTTGCAGACCGCCGCCAAAACAATCGATAGGCTAGAGAGGAGATGGGTCGAGCATGTGATAGTGTGGCCGTACTCACAAGTATCGATTGAGTAAATACAAGCAAGCCATTTCAAAGTAGTAAATTATATATATAACAATAATGAACAGAAACCCGTTTTCCCAAATTTAAACCTTCACAAGTTCCAACAACACTCAACGATAGTTCACAAACAATCGATTGTTGCAGCAGCAACTGCAACTATCGTACACGCAATCGATAGTTTGACAGCTCTGCAAGTAGCGACAAATTTTTGCATAAAATAATTAAATAATAAAGGGCGAACGCCGACGCTGCAAACCGTTGTTTTTTATTGCTGCAATTGCTAAAGAATAGAGTTAAGTGCCACCCGAAACACAGAAGCAGAGCGGTCGCGAAATTGCAAGCAAGAGCCATACGAAAAAGCAGCGACGGCCCAAAAGTGAAAGCCCCCAGAAAAAGTACAAAAGAGAGACGGAGAAAGAGCGAGAGAGAGAGACGAAACGAGAAAAGAGTCTGGGCGAGAGAAAAAACGATTTTTTCAGAGAACACCGCGAATTTTTGTCATATTTTCCCATTTCTGTGTGCAGTGGAACTGGCAGAGCGTGAGCTAAGACCTGGTGAGTGGATTTTCCGTCGATGTTCCTCGTCCGAGATCGAAATACATGTGTAATATTTGTTTGTAACCCCAACCGAGCAGCAGAGAACCCAGCGAAGCATAGGCAGCAACAAGGAACGAGGAGGAACCCAGCCAGAACCTAACCAGCGCGCTGCCACAGAATCGCTTCAAGATTCTCAGCCACATTTACAGCGGGATCCAGATCCAGAGCCTGAGCCACGGGAGCCACCGGGAGCAGCACAGACCAGCAACCAGCGCCAACAGCACTCCACTAGCCGCCACCACGCTCCACAAACAGCCAGCCATCATGTTCGTCAACTCGATGACGTTCCGCGGCAACCCGGCGAACTATCATCAGCAGCAGCCGGCCCTGAACCACCACACGCTGGCGGCGGCGCATCATCAGCAGCAGCTGCACCACCATGCCGCCGCCGGCCACCTGGGCCACGTCGGCGGCGGTCATGCGGCCAGCAATCACCTGGCTGCCGCCGCCGTTCTAGGTCGGCATGGCCACAACTCTCTGGGCAGCGGGCACACGTCCGGCTCCTCCCACTCCACTGGCGTGGGTGTGGGCGTCGGTGGCGGTGCTTTGGCCAGCGGCACCAGTGGTGGCGGCGGCAGCGGCAATAGCTCACCGGATAGCGGCAAGATCTATATCAAGAACCTGGAGCGATCCATCGACAACAAGGCAGTGTACGACACGTTCTCCGTGTTCGGCAACATCCTGAACTGCAACGTGGCCAAGGACGAGGACGGCAACTCGCGCGGCTACGGTTTTGTGCACTTCGACTCCGAGGAGGCTGCCCGGGCGGCCATCGAGAAGGTGAACGGGATGCTGTGCAATAACCAGAAGGTGCATGTGGTCAAGTTTATACCACGACGGGACCGGGAGCAGGAGAAGGCCACCCACTTCAAGAACCTGTACGTGAAGAACCTCAGCGAGGAGTTCACCGAGCAGCACTTGCGCGAGATGTTCGAGCCCTATGGCCGCATCACCAGTCACAAGGTATGTTCTTTTTGGTCACCTTCTCTCACGACCGGGAGGTGTGGGTGGGTGGGTGAGAGGACTGCAGATGGACAACCATGTGGCACAGTTTCTCACGCACTCAGCCGCGCTCTTAAATCCGCTCTTTGCCCCATTGCTGCGCATGCTTACGGGTGAGAGAGAGTTGTGCCAGCAAGGGAGGACAAGCGACACAGAGAGCGGGAGAGAGAAAGTGAGAGAGGACTTGCACTTGGCCCATCTGAGCGGATTTGTTTATTTCATTGACTCTGATCCTTGCAGCTCATGCTGGACGAGGAAGGGCGCTCGCGGCGCTTCGGTTTCGTGGCTTTCGAGAATCCACAATCGGCGCTGGCCGCCGTGATCGGCCTGCACGGCAAACAGCTGGGCGACAACAAGTTCTTGTACGTGGCACGAGCCCTGAGCAAGGCTGAGCGGCAGCAGGAGATCAATCGCAAGCTGGAGGAGCGCAAGCGTCAGAAGGCCGGCCAGATATTCTACTACTAAGCCGGAACAGAATCTGGATCGCGAGAGGTGTTTACTCAGAACCCACATAAATACAATATACACACATATATAAACCCTATATAGCTATTTACGAGAAATTGTATCGGCAGCGGACATTCAGGCAGCTGGCAGGCAGAGGTAGGACGCAGGACACTAGTCCTGCCATTACACATTTAGACGTAGGCAAAAAGTGTTGCAACACAGTTGAAATTTATAGAAACACACACGCATAAGAACAGAAACAGAACTCGTACTCGAATTCGAACTTGAACGCGGACTCGAAATCGATATCGAATTGAAAGGATTTTCTAGGCATTAGGACAACAGTTTCTAGGCACTCACTAGCGTTTTTTTGGAATTAGATGTTTGTCTTTACTGTTGAATTTAGTGAGCAGAGGCTTCGGTGTCAGCTTCTCGCCTAAAAAGAACACATTGCGTACGTATTTCGAACATGTATTTACCCCACACACACACACCCCAAACAATCTAACTGGATCCTTAGCATTGTCGAGCTACGCCCAGATGACATAAATATTTACACATACCTAATATATTATTATTAAAAAAAAAAAAACAAAACAAAAAACTAAACTAACAAACAAAAAACAAAAAAAAATCTAAATGAAAAATTGAAAAAATACAATTGATGTAATCCCTCTATTAACAATTGAAGCACTCACTCTACGTTTATACATAAACATATATATATATACATATATATATATATATTTAATGTACACGCTGTAGTTAAAAAGCGTTTATAATAATACTCACACACACTCTACGCTATAAACTAATACTTTTGACGACGAAAGGAATCAAGTGCAACCATTGCGAAAGCGAAACCCTACACGTAATTTATATAGTAGACGCAGCTGCGGATGGAAGGAAGGATGGTAGGAGTATAGAGATCGATGCTGAACAGGAAAAATATTTAGCAGCGGGACAGAACATGAGTATTAAAATTTTAGCAATTACAAGACACTTTTTGTAATTAATTGTACATTGTTTCAAGGTAGCAAGAACGAACATGAAACCACAAAACAGGACAGCAAAGACAGCCGTAAATGTAACGAAAAAAAAACAAATACAAAAAAAATACTAATTGAATATAAAACAATGCAATGTTTAAAATCTTTTAGAATATTATTACGAAGGCACGATATAAAAAACAAAAGGAAACTCTGAGACCCTAAAGGAAACCGGAAATAGGCAGGCAGGCAGGCGTGTATACAATTTAATCCGAAGTGAAAGCAAATACATACATAATTTAAGATTATTGAGCTTAATTTTTAAAATGTTTCCAAGAACAGAAAAGCAAAAAAGAAAAAACCCAAGAAAAACAAAAGATATTTAGAAAGAAAAACCCAAGAAACCATGCTAAAAAACGAAAAAGTCACTCAAAATTTGTAAGACTCGAATTTTGCGTCTACACACAATGTATAGTTAAAACAGTACCACAAGAGAACAAAAAAATGAAAATTACCTAACAGAATAGTTATATAAACAATGGCAATATTTAGGATGGCATAATTAATTAATGTAACCCTCCTTCCCCCTCTCATTTGACCATATTTATTTCCATTTACATTTCGTTTCGAGTGGAGCTTACGATTCTAGTTTTTCAGGAACAAATGTAGTAGTATTAGGCCTTTCACACACACTCACACACAGACACACCATATGCAATATGAATTTACAAGAAAAACAAGAAAATTATCTAATTGAATAATATTTACACAAAATGTACAAAACAAAGCAAAAAATAAGAAAAACAAGATGAAAGAGAAAAAAGAAATTTATTTTCCTTTGCCAAGCAAATGCGACATACTTTTTATTATTATTACAAATTATAATTGTAATTGAAACTTAATTTTTGGTAATTGCTTTTGCAGAATTTACCTAAAATAAACAAACAATACAAAACAAAACAAGAACCCCAAAAGAGAAAACCCTTTTATAGTGCTAAATTTTTAGAGAGTACAAGAAATGTTAATTGAAAATCTTACGAAAATTAATTGATAAACTTACACACAACCATAAAACAAATTCCCATTTCGAACACAAAACTCATTAAAAAAATTACTCAATTTTGCACATTTGCTAAATATGAGACATTTGAAGATTCTACTCACAAAAATCTCACCAATCTTTCATTATTATTATTATAATTATTATTATTATGGCTTGGATTGCAAAAGTTACACATTTTATTGACTAGCGAAACCCACACAAGAAGCACAGAAGATAATACTGACACGGATGAGGGCGTATAATATATGCATTATATATGTAATTCCATTGAAACGAAACTCCTAATTATAACATATTACAAAAATACCTACTTATTAACAAACCTAAAAACAAAAGAAAACAAAATGGAAAAACGAAAAAACACACAAAAACAAAAAACCAAGCGAAAATGAACAAGAAAATGGAAAAACATTTAATGATGAAAATCAAGATGCAGTGAGCAGAGATATGTGAAACTTGAATAAAAATGCTTTTGCAAAAAGTGTTTGAAATTGCGACCCGGCGTGTATTTATTTGTTAATTTCTTGTATTTTAAAATAGGATTAAATGTAGTATTATATTTTAAGAATAATTTACAAACAGTTACAGTAAGAAGTGAGATTTGTAAGATGAAGATGCCTTTTTAAGGCCTTTTTTCTCCTGTTCTGAATTTCCAAAACCTAGATATTGTTTCTAGTGATCCTTCTGCCACTTGTAGTACAAGATCTCGAGAGGTAGAACCAACATACTGACAGTAGTCCCTCCTATATATGCTATCCATACGTAGAACAAATCATCCCAGATGAGATCGTGATAGCCACCGGGCTCTGCCTGCTCCACAGTGTAGTTCAGTTTGCCAATGGCAATAAGTTCATGATAGGATCTCTTTAGCCACAAATCGTACAGTCCACTGGCCAGTGTGTGACTCAAATATCTATTGAAGGCATCCCGATATATAGAATTCCTGGCCATGGGCATCGTCACTGGCACAAAGGGCATAAAGCTAATCTCGTTCGATTTCCGAAAGGCAGGTCGGTGCATTTTAATTTGTTTCAGTTGGAGTAATGGCCATAGGGTTTTGGTGACCGGATAACCAAACGAAGTATTCAGCTCATTCCGCTTGGCCAGAAACTCCACAGTCGATGGGGTTACCTGAAAGATATCCAAATTCTTCTCCAGCACATCCTTCCCAATGGAGTCACTCAAGGTCGGGATCTCCTGTTGGGAAATGAAGATCTTTCCATGGGTTCTCCTCAGGTCCTCGTAACTCAGTATCTTGTACGCAGCCGGCGGATGAACCAATAGAGTCGCCAAATTGGCGCTGTAAAAGGTGCTAACTATCAGTCCTGTCATTATCAGCAGACTGTAGAGTAGAGTGCGACTGAAGAAGAGGCGTCGATTGGGCAGGTCAAAGGACTGCGCCAGGATGGCTCTGAGTAAATGGTCAGCAAAGATGTTGCCACACCTCAGGGTGGAGTATCCCTGCCCCAACTCCAGGAGCTGGGCATTGGCCAGGAGTAGAGCCAACACGACCATTAGGCCCAGAAAGTAAGGCCAGCCCTTGAGGTTAAAGTACAAACTGGACAGTGGCATATCGGGCTCCACGGGCAGCATCAGAAACCAGCTGGTAATCTCCGCCACATAGCTGGGATAAAAGGGTTCCGGAGCCAGGGTGGTCAGCACCAGGGGGAAGTCCACCAGTCCATCTCTCATTAGTCCAGAGGTGACATTGTGATCGGGTGTCTCGCTCTCTGGAACGAGGTCCCATCGCACCCGCAATGTGGTATTCAAACTCCTGGCAAAGTTCTTGTAGAAATGGGTGAGATAACCCGTCATCTGGCGACGTCCCTCCCTGTCCCTGTAGATCACCGAACGTGGCACCAGACTGTATGGAATAGTGGCGATGGGATATCCTTGTAGGTTCCCAACCTGAGGTTCAAAATATCTTATGACCTTGACTAGCCTTCGCCGAACGACCTTAAAGTGGGGAAAAGCATGATAGCTATATATGAACTCCCGATTCGAACCCCTCAAGGCTAGGACATTGAGCATCTGATTGGATCGACAGTCCTCGAATAAAGATGTGATATTGGTATCCGTTGTGGCTATGAATAATACGTGAGTTCCTCGAATATCCATTAGATTTTCAAACAGGGCTTTCATGAGCTCTTCTGCTTCAGATTCCAAGCAAACTAATGCTAATATTTTCCTATTAAGTTTACCTTTAAGGTGGTTACTTTGATTGCCGTTGAAGCTGAGATAGGCAAGTTTCAAATCTAGTTCGCTTTGCCGCCAACAGGCCTCGTTTTGAGAAACCCCTTTATTTTGCAGTAATAGTAAGGTACGAGGGGATAGCTCGAGTTTCAGGGAGTGTAAAATTATTTCCAATGGAACATCCTGGGCTTCAACCAGAACGATGATGATTATTATAAGTGATTTTATACTCTTCCACATTATGCGCTTCACTTGCTAAAAAACTCTACGATAAATGACATCGGTCAGGGTCTAGTTTCTGCTTATTAAGGTCTAGGAGTAGGTCACATTTATAGCCTTAATAGATTTCCATTACGGGCATATTTCTGAACGATAAGCATTGGTAATAACTGAAGTTAATAAGGCTTATTTGTGCGTACTTTTTATACTCCACCTATGGTAGCCTAGCTCTAGCAGAAATCCAAGGACACTGACCATTATTCCTGCCACAAAGGCAAGCCATATAAAATAAAAATCATGCCACTTCAGATCACAATATACTTCCATGTTACTGTCGACATTGTAGGTGATTCTTCCAAGAGCCCTCAATTCGTTGAAGCTTCGTGTGAACCAAATGTAATATAGACCACTCTCCTGGGCATTTCTCCTGTACTTCAGGAGTGACTTGTGAAAGGGTGAGTTATCCGGCAGCGACATGGTCAGAATCAGCATTGGCAGGAATACTATTTGGCGGGACCTACGGAAGATGGGTCGCTGGAGACGGACTTGACCCTGCTTCAGAAGTGGCCACAGGGTTGTGGTAACTGGATACGCATACTTTGGATCCATCTGGATTCGCTTCCTCTGAAAGTTCGCTGAGTTTGTGATTTCAAACATGTCGCGATGGGCATTCATGAACTCGCTACCCATGGCCTCCGTCATGTACTGCTTTTCAGTGGGAATAATAAGTATCTTTAGATTTAGTGAATGCATTTGCTCCCAGTTATTGATGTGATCCGCCACCGGTGGATGCACCAGCCAAGTCTCCAGAACGGCGGTGTAATAGTTACTCATAAAGAATCCTCCCATGAGGAGCAAGCCATAGATTGTCATCAGTTTCAAGGAGAGTCGTCCTGGCAGAACAAAGGGCTGTCCTAGAATCCCACGCAAGACTTGATCGTTTATAAGAAAACTCCGCCAGCTTGGATCCAATCCGGCCGCAATGCGATGGGCATTGCCCAGCGCTACTGCCACCAGCAGCATCAAAGGAATCATGCCCTCTAGTCGCAATCTTAGAAGAAAATGAGAGCGTGGAATGCCAGGCTCCATGGGCAGCATCAGAAACCAGCTGGACATCTCCAAGGGAACATTCTGCTTCGCCGACTCCAAGTCGAGACCATCAATGCCCAGAGGAAAGTCCACGCCAGACGCTTTGGACAGTTGGATGACCTTGGCCAGATTGGTCATACCCTCTTCCGGAACTAGATCCCAGCAGATTTTTAGAGTTGCATTCAGAGTGCTAGCATAGTTCCTTATAAAGTGCCACAGGTATCCACCCAACTGACGACGTCCATCAGAAGTTCTATAGGCCACAGTTCTTGGCATTATATTGTCTGGTAGTGTCCTAAGGGTATATCCGCCTAGATCCTTCAGTTGTGGTTCAAAGTATCTATTAATTTCCATCACATTCCGCTTTATTAGACGAAATGCTGGGAATGCTTGGTAGCTGTAGATAATATTTCTGTCTGAGCCCTGAAAAGCCAGCACATTAAGCATTTTCTCTTTGAAACAATCCAAAAACAAGTATTTTATTTTGACTTCTGAAGCAGCGAATAATATAGTGTGAGTATCTCGCATATCCTCAAGGTTTTTATAGAGAACTTGCATTGTCTCATTTTTGTTTTTGTCCAAGCAAACTAGAACCAGTATATTGCTATTAAAACTATCTTTTAGATACACACTGTCACTCGCGTTGAAATTTAATATTGCCACCATATCTTCAAAGTCTGTTTGGTTCCAGCACAAGCTTTCATTTTTATTTTGGAGTAAAAATATAGTTTTATACGACAACTCTATATCCAGAGACCGCAGGATATTATTTAAGGGTTCACTGAATATATCCCCAAATATTGTGGTAATTATTACAAAAATTCCCAGCCACATTTTGAAGCTGACCATTCCAAGCGATTCGCGTAAACAAACTGCAACATTACGGAACTTACACCCAGGGTTAGGGTAATTACCACAAAATCAGATACAAATCATTTAAGGAACCGAGAAAAAGAAAGACAATAACAACTATAAGGTCATGGTTTTTAATTGCTCGTAAGGGGGGGGGGGGGTAAGGAAAACTGCATTTGTGGTTTTTTTTTATGGTTTCGGAAAACAAATTTGAATCAGGTGGTAAAGTAAATACAGGAAAATAAATTTGAAAAATGAGAACAAAATTAATTAATAAAACAAAGTTTTCCTTTTATGTAAGTAGTTGGTTTCAAAAAAATTTAAACCCATTTTCGTAAATAAATAACAGAAACCAGTTATAATTATAATATATTAAAGTTATAATAAATATATAACAATAGTAAAATCCTTTTCCCATTATTTAAGATTCGCGTTATTTTGAGTTCACTGTAGGTTTACTAATTTTCCGCCGAAATGTTTGAATCCAGCCATTCACCTGTGCTCTCAACGGTTTTTTATCAGTTAATTCATGTCCGTCAAATTAGCGTCGATGAGTTAGCGCCGAAATGGAACGGTAGGAAAATGGAACACGGAGAGGATCTTTAATTTTAATTTAATTCGTAATTAAGGCACTAATTCGAATAAAATAAAGTTTCTAAATGCTAAAATATATATTAACTATTGTTTTATATTAGGTTTGAAAGTATTTGACATTTGGATATATTAAAAAAAAGCATGTGAAAAATCGTGTTTTCACGGATTTCTTAATATCTCGGCTAATCGAACGCGTGCAGCAATACCCGATACGCCAAAATAAAGGACATTTATTGTAGTTTTACCCTACAATTTTTCAAACCGTCTGTTTTTGAGCAAATCGCATAACAGAGATCTATCCATACAAAATAGAGCATTAAAAATTGTAAGGCATATAACTTTGATTTACGAACGCGTGCACATAAGCACAGTATATAGACAGATTAACAAATATTTGGTGAAAATTTTAATTGTTTTTAACCGTCAGATTTCGAGAAAATCAAGTGTTTCGCTTTTTCGACCTCATTAATAAACACTGGCTTCATATCGATAGGGGCGCCTCCGACACCCTATCGATAAATAGCCCGCCAGAAAATATTCCTATAGACTATTTAAAAAATGTATAAAATATGCATGCCCAATGAATGGAATTGACATTCCAAGCATTTTAGTAGAATTTCATCAAAGCCATTCAAGAGATAACATCACTTTTTTATCTATTTCCATAAATGTTCCTACGAAGAATAAATATATCTGGCAGCACTGCCTGCCGAAAAGTAAGTCAATTTGATTTAAACTTTATTATAAAACTAATGAAAAATGACGATCCTTCCATAAACGGCATCGCAATTCTGAACATTTTGATCCATGTTTCATCAAAATCCGTTCAGTCGTTCATAAGAAAACCCGACCTTTTCATTTATTTCCATTTATGTGCCGGCGAAATATAAATATATCAGGCAGCCCTGCCTGCCTAAAAACAAGAAAACTTGATTTAAACTTTATAGTTAAACTTATGCTAAAGAAAGATTCTCCCATAGACGGCATCGCGATTCTGAACATTTTGATCTATGTTTCACCAAAATCCGTTCAGTTGTTAATGAGAAATCCAGGCTTTTTCATTTATTACCATAAATGTATGTACTGTTCGACGTAGAATATTAAATAAAAAAATTTGGGTTTAAACTTAATGGTCGGACGTATTTAGACAAAAACAATAAGCGGCATCGCAGTTCTGAACATTTTAATCCCTTAAATACTAGTGAGATTACATAGAAGACTAACTGCAAAGTTTTATTTAGATAGCTTTAAATATGAGGGTCTTGTTTACATATTTATACATACATAATTGGACAGATGGACATGGATAGATCGACTTGGCTGTTGGTGCTGATCAAGATATATATACTTTATATGGTCGAAAATAATTTATTTACTGCGTTGGAAATTTTTGACCTGAAATCATATTACAAAGCAAGGGCATTAAAGCACTAGATTTGCAAAGTTAATTTTCGAAATAACTTTTAATAGTCTGTCCAATAAATGACATCTTTATTCTAAGCAATTTGGTAGGTGTTTTTTCGAAATCCGTTAAGTAGTTTATGAGAAAATAACATTTTTAATTATTTTTTATATACCACGGAGGCATGACTGTGCACCCCTGGTACTCAACTGCAAAAAATGAAAAAAATCGGATTTCTCATTAACGACTGAACGGATTTTGATGAAACATAGATCAAAATGTTCAGAACTGCGATGCCGTCTATGGGAAAACCTTCCTTTTGCATAGGTTTAGCCATAAAGCTTAAATCACGTTTTCTTGTTTTTAGGCAGGCAGGGCTGCCGGATATATTTATTCTTCGTAGGAACAATTATGGAAATAAATGAAAAAGTGATGTTTTCTCTTGAACGGCTGAACGAATTTTGAAAAAACATCTACCAAAATGCTTGGAATATCAATTCCATTCATGGGGCGTGCATTTTTTATACAATTGTTTTTTAATTTGACGGTCATCAATGAGAGACAATTCTGTTAATGAGAGCAAGTCTGTTAACGAATTTTACTTCCTACATGGGATATCTACAATCTGTACACGTGTAAAATGTTACCTAGAAGTTAAATAACAGAGTCGGATCATAGAGAGAGATTCTGTTAACTACCATCCACCCAACAACAGCCGAGACCGTATTTTACATGATACATGATAATTCTGCCCCATGTGGAAAGATCTACCCCAAATGTGAAAATTAGACCCCATGTATCTGTAAACGTGTAAAAGTGTTTTTTAGACGTGTAAGATGAAAATGTTAAACAACAGCTTTGGATTTTAGAGTGACCAGAACAAAAATATAGAGAAATGTTAAGCAAAAATGTAGCAACTTCGATATTTGGGCAAACTAGATATCACTATCACATTATTTTCAAAACATTTTAAAACAAGCGAAAGTTTATTATTATTTACCAGAGTAAATTGATTTATATATAAACGGTATTTATCGCATAAGTTGACGGAAATGCTATAGTCGCGGGTCAGCCGGTTGACACTCAAACGAAATGCGCCAATAATTCGCAATTTGTAGTTAAAGTTGTGTAATTTGATTGGAAGAAGAGTGCGAGGCGGGGCAAAAACAAAAACAATGAAAGATCGCGCGATATTGGCGATGACGTAGCCGCCGCGTGCGTGAATATATATATATATATATATATATATGTGACACACACATTTGCAATTTAAATTTATAATCTTTTTCGGCTAATCTAACTCGTTTCTTTTACTCTCTTTTACATTAGTACCGTTAAGCAGCGAATGATAGAAAGAGAGAGGGTGCGAAACGATAACAAAGGCAACGCCAACAAACAAAACCAAAACACTCAAGCAAAACGGAGACGACAGAAAAGGCAAATATACACACATAACAGAGTTTGTCGGAAATTATCAAAATTACAATTGAAAATTCTTCGAAATCGGATTGGCAGCAGCATAGCCGCGCCCAGCACCCAACAGCACCACCCCCGCTGACCGCCAAACGAAATCATGAACGCCCTGCTCCGCCACAAGGGACGCAACTTGCGGACGAGTTACCTGGTTCAGAACCTTAACCAGCGATGTAAGTTCCCAGTCACAGCAACCACAACGGAAAGATTAGCAAGTGCATGAAAACTTTCCATTGATTTTACCCCTTCGAATAGTGTGTTTGTGTGCTATCCAGTATTTTGTTTTGGCTGCGCTTTCGCCAAAACAGCTGTTTGCAAGCGTACTGCGCCGTTGGGCCTTCCAAATTTCCCTGGGAAAATTCTATATTTCTATAATTTTCCTGCCACACGCAATCGAGTGATATAAGTTTGAAATCCGCAGGCTTAGCTGCTAATTTAATTACTCACTGTTTATTTTAGTTGTTTGTTGTTGTTTATGTGGACTTTGAATCGCGCCATCTGAGCATCTTATCTTTGGTTTAAATACTAGAACTAGCTCAATTGAGATTTAAAAACCAGTCTTATGTTTACTTTATTGAGAATGTCGAACAAGTTATACATATGCATTGTTTTCTTTTATTTTGTATTTATGTTTAGCCTAAGGAACATAAACATTTTATATTTCAAGTCAGTTTAATTCAAAAAATGAGGTCATAATAACAAACTTTTAGCTTGAAAGGTTCCACTGTAGTTATTGAGTAGCAAATCTTTCGTATCCATTAGATTAGCACCCGTCTTTACCCATTTTTGACCAATTTCCGTAGAGAAATCTTTGCCTGTTCATGTCACTCACAAATTGGCATTATTTGCGGAACGAATTTAGAATTTTAGAGAATTTCTGGTCATTTCCGAGCATTTCCCTATAGCAAACAAAAGGTGCAAACGACAGGTAGAAGATAATGCCAGACATAGCGGCACCTGCGAAAAGTACAGTCACGCAGAACCACTAAAACCAAAAGAGGTTTCAAGTGCAGCCAGAAATTAGGTCTAAAATGGAAGCGTAAAATGTTTTAAAAGAAATCAAAAAGAGGTCAGAACTCGCCTACACTTTCTCCTCCTCCTCGGCTCCTTGTTTCGCATTCACTTACCTTGAGCAATTGCCAAGAGTGAATAAGCGAAAAAAAAGAAAATAGTGGAAAAAAGAAAAGGAAAAGTGTGCTTGCTGTAAACAATTGCACTCTCGGCCCACATTGCTCAATGTTTGCCACATCGTTTATTAATAGAGGAGGAAAATTTGCAGCGTCGAGAAGGTTTGTGAGGGATTTACATAATCTATACACTCCAGGTGTTAATTCTCGAACGTCGCCGGCGATCTTTGCCTTTTCCATTATCAACTCCTTGTTCCGTCTACCTCTAAAATCTTCCAAATCCCAATAACAAACCGTTATCAAGCGGTTATCAAGCTTATCACCTGCAAAACTTTTCTTGTTTATTGTTCAACTTCTGATTAATAATATATTTTGCGGCTTTGTTTTCACTCTTTGTTTGTCATTTTCGCTTTTTCCTTCCAATGCCGGCTGTTGAACCGTTTTCATCTTCTGAGAAAGAAAGGAAATGTGTTTCGGAAAAGCTTTCAGATTGAATTGACTATTTAGTTCATTGACCTAAAGAATGATTTTTTATATGAGACTCTAGTTATCCTAGTTAGTAATCCTGATTTCTTGAAACCTATTACAGATCTCAAATCGAGTTGTTGTGCCTGCAGTTCTATTCACTCTACAGATGGCGATGGCAAATCGGACGAACGACCCCGGAGATCTGCATCCACTTCGATGCTGGAGATAAGCAAATCCCTGGGCTCGTGCCAGCTTTACGGTAACCACAGGTTCCAGGCACAGACCAGCTACGGATACCATTACTCAGGCCATGGATTCAGGCATCTTCATGTCAGTCGTTCACTGCTTGAGACCTCCACCTCGAAGATCGATGTGACGGTCAAGAAACTGAAGAACCAACAGAAGGAGAAGGTCGAGGAGATCATGAAGGAGGTGGCCAACGGCCAGGCAATGGGAGTGACTAAGAGTGCTGCAGCCACTGCCACTGCCTCCACTGAGAAACCCAAATCCGATGGCCCAACGCTGGGCGAAACGTCGGCGACGTCTAGCTCGGATATAACTGCAACTAAATCCACGGAAAAATCTGTGGCCAAGCCAAAGAAGCCGCTGCGCACACGCATTTGGGACGAACTGGTGCACTACTATCACGGCTTTCGCCTGCTATTCATTGACGTGGCCATTTGTTCTAAACTGCTCTGGCGGGTGCTCAATGGAAAGACGCTGACGCGACGTGAGAATAAGCAGCTTCAGCGGACCACCTCGGACTTGTTCCGTCTTATTCCATTTTCTGTGTTCATCATTGTGCCGTTCATGGAGCTCCTGCTACCGCTGTTCATCAAGTTTTTCCCCGGCATGCTTCCCTCCACGTTCCAAACCTCGAACGATCGACAGGAGAAGCTGCGGCAGTCTCTAAATGTTCGACTCGAGGTGGCTAAGTTCCTGCAGCAGACCCTCGACCAGATGCCCGTCCAGCACAAGGAGCACAGCAGCGAGGAGGCCAAGCAATTCGAGGCCTTCTTCACCAAGATCCGCAATCCTAACGAGGCCATCAGCAACGATGAAATCATCAAGTTCGCCAAGCGCTTCGACGACGAAATCACCCTGGACTCTTTGTCGCGGGAGCAACTAGCGGCCCTCTGCCGAGTGCTGGAGCTGAATACGATCGGAACTACAACATTACTACGATTCCAGCTGCGCCTGAAGCTACGCTCCCTGGCCACCGACGACCGGGTGATTGCTCGCGAGGGCGTCGACACCCTGGATCTGTTCGAGCTGCAGCAGGCGTGCAAGGCGCGTGGCATGCGTGCCTATGGCCTTACGGCCGAGCGTCTGCGTTTCCAGTTGAAGGAGTGGATTGACCTCTCGCTGAACGAGCAGGTGCCACCCACGCTACTGCTTCTGTCACGAGCTGTGCTCATCTCCGACGACAGCAACACCACCGACAAACTGAAGGAGACCATGCGCGTTCTGCCGGATGCAGTGGGTGCCCATACACGTCACGCAATTGGCGAGAGCGAGGGCAAGGTGGACAACAGGACTAAGATCGAGATCATCAAGGAGGAGGAGCGCAAGATTCGTGAAGAGCGCGAGGAGGAGCGCGAAGAGACGATTGCCAAGCGAACGGCAATCAAGGATGAGGCACCATCTCCCTATGTATTCTCTAAGAAGATGGCAACAGCGAAGGAGATTCTCAACGTTGAGAGGAAGTCTGAGACCGATAAGAGCATATCCTCCACCGATGTTCAGTTGCTGTCCGAAGCTTTGAAGACTCTCTCGTCCGACAAGCAGCTTGTGGTGGAGAAGGAGACGATCAAGGAGCTGAAGGAGGAGCTGGCCGACTACAAGGATGATGTTGAGGAGCTGCGGGAGGTTCGCCAGGTGGTCAAGGAACCAGTGCGCGAGAGTCGAGCGGCGAAGCTGCTCTACAACCGGGTCAACAAGATGATTGCGGAGCTGGATACCGTACTCCACGACCTGGAGCATAGGCAGCACCAGATCAAGCAGGCAGATACCAGTGATTACACTCCCGCCAGACCAGACATGGTGTCGAATATGGTGCACATCGACGAGCTAGTTTCCACAATTCGGCGGGTGAAGGAGGCCTCGGACGAGGAGCGCTTTAAGGTGGTCGAAGATTTGCTGGTCAAGCTCGATGCGGACAAGGATGGTGTGATTTCAGTGAACGAAATTACCAAGGTGGTGCAGAGCATCGACAGTGAGGCCCTCAAGATCGACAAAAAGCAGCTGGAGGAATTCACCGAGCTGCTGTCAAAGCAGGCGACGCGACGGCGCAACGAGGAGATTGTTCGTATTGATGACCTCATGAAAAACATCAAGGTGCTTAAGGAAACCAGCGATGAGGCACGCCTTAAGCATATTGAGGCCGTTTTAGAGAAGTTTGATGCCGACAAGGATGGTGTGGTGACGGTTAACGAAATTCGCAAGGTAATTATCCTTGGAAAATGCTTGAGTCAAAAGTATATTTCTCTGATTATGTGTATCATTAATAGGTAATGGAGTCCATCGGTCGCGACAATATCAAACTAAGCGAGAAGGCCATCGAGGATCTGATCTCTATGCTCGAAAAAGAGCAGGTCCTTCAGGCTGAGCAGAAAATTGAAAAAGCTATTGCGAAGAGCATGAAGGAGGCTGAAAAATTGAAGAATGATGTGGAGAAGTCTGATAAGGACCTGGCCAAGCTAGTTAATGACATTCACGACTCGGCCAAAGAGATTCAGGACATTGCCCACGAGCTAGGTGCTTCGGCGTCCGGCACGGATAAGCTTATCGATAAAGCTAAGCCTTTGAAGCCGGAGGTAAGTGATGGTGTGAATTGTTCCCTTTTTCTACAATATCTAAATGTTATAATTTCGTTTTTCAGCCCGCATTAAAGGACACGGCCAAAACGCTTAAGGACAACGCCACGGATCTTAATGAAATAGCACCGAAAGTTCTGCCGGCGGAAAAGAAAGATGATCCCAAGAGCAGACCGACAACGAAAGACTCGGCTGGCTCCGAACGAAGCGGGAAGCCTGGTGGTGGAAGCACCGGCGGCGGTACCGCGACAGAAGCAGTTTTGCGGGAGGCGGCTGAGCGGCAAATAGAAAAGATTCTGCCCCAGACGGACATGGGTCTGCCGCCCACGATACAGACACCGACACAGCCTTCAGCGACGAAGAAAGCAACGGCAACGGCCACGGCCAGTGCCAGTGCCAACCTGTCCTCGACGAATACAACCAAGAAGTTGCTCTGACCGACCGAGGGCGAATCGAAGGAAGGAGTACCTAAGCCGAAGTGATGATGTGGTGGAGATGGAGTTCGGGGCGAACGAGAGTGAGAAGTGGCTGCTCGTGTGTTCAGAATTGTTCTGAATATAGTATGAATTGATTTGTTAACACTTAACATAAAACGAGGGAGATGTTCCCAACGAGAAAACGCAACTCTGTATTTAACTGCATCCGATATCCTTGAGCGGGATGATAAGTGTTTGCTCTACTTAACGGCTGGCTGTAGTTCGATATATTCTGTAGGTAATGCACAAAAAAACGTAAACTATTATAAATATATATAATTACCACATTTAATCCTATGCATCTTGATTTCCAATCTCTAATGTCCTAGTTTTATGTCTTTACCCCTCATATATGTGTGTTATGTACTTTCCATTCAATTTCCCAATCCACGGACGACTTCACTTGACCCCCAAACAATAGTAGCGAAGCGATTGTGATCATAAAGCGAAATGTTAGTTTACGATTTAAACCCTATGCTCTATTAAAACTTGAATTAATTGTAGGCGACGAGATATTGAATTTGAATTGAAACCGCGTGATAACTCTAAACAATAATATAGTGCGTGTGCTTGAAAACGAGTTAGTTAAACTGAATTTGTAAAATGTTTCGCAATAAAAGTTAGTATAAAAAAACCAAAGTTTACTTTTTTATTTAATATGCTGGGTCAACGAGGAGTGCTTAACTCTCATTAAAATTATTTACCCTGTCAACTGTTAAGTTCAACAATTGCATCGAAACTAAAGCTCATTTTCGCCGCAAAAACAAAAACCTTTTGGGGGCATTTTAAATAATGAACTCGAACCACCGAAGAATGGCTCTTACAAACCGCATTGATTGCTCAGAATTATATTTTTGCATTGTTTATGGCCCTTGGGGAGGGAATTGGTGCGCCTGGAACTAGCCTGCTTTCCTGGCTGGCTGTGATTCGCAATCGACAACCGCAAAACCCCAACTTTTACGGCAACCATCAGGACTTTGGGCGATGCCAAGTTGATTCTGGTTCTGGAGCTGGGTGCAGAGAATTGCCAGCCAGCAGCAGCATCATGTACTGGGCAATAGAAGTAATAAAAATTACCACAAAATGTTCGAAAATTTCATCTTTGCCTGGCCACTGACCCATAAATTCACATCATATTCCGCACAAATGGGCCATGGGGAGGAAGTGTGGGTACTCGTAAAATATTTAAAAACTTCTCTCAGATATTTTGGCATCCTCTTTGCCGGGTCACACGCAAGAATCTTGTCGTAAATTTCAACATCTTCCGAATGGACTATTGTCTTCTGTGATCTATGGGAATCTATGTAGGACCCCATAACATTAATCAATCACAATTTGGGCGCCAAATACCAAGTAAATACAGCGAAACTTTCCTCCCAATAACGAAATCGAAAACAAATAAAGGCAAACCGATGCAAAATAAAAGAAAACGAAAATTTATTTAAAGGTAAATAAAACCACCAAAACGCGAAACAAGCCAAATAATAATAAACTTCAGTCCCGTTGGGAGCCAGAGCGCGGGCGAGCAGCTGCTCCGGGCCAAGTGAGGATTGTTGTTTGCAATCAGGCAAAACCCAACAACCGCAGACAAGCCAACTCAGAGGAGTTCCGGGATCCGGACCGACTGGCCCTGGACAGGATGGACAGGAAAGTTGCGCCAAGTGTCTCGGCGAAAGTTTGCTCCGCTGAAAGTGCTTCGAATGCAACAATGAAACCCGAAATCTGCCATGAATTGCAGACAATCAGTGACAGAGACCGTAAGACAGACAATCGGACCCGGCGAATTTAAAGTATTTTTGTGATGGAATGAAGTTAATAAGTCTGAAGCCGACGCCCCATAGAATCTCTGGGCCAATGAAATAAAGCTGCTAGACACGATGACACACAAGCTCCAGCGGGAAAAAATTTCGTAAAATTATTTGTGGAAATGTTACAAAACAATTAAAAAGTTGCAAGACTTTCATGAGTCAATCAAAAGACCGGGAACCGCAACGAGTTTCTGAAAGTTCCTCAACTTTGCGCCACTTTAAATGCCAGACAACACGGGCCAGTAGCAGTGGCAGCAGACAGCACAATACGCATACGCCCTGTTGTACGGCATGTGTGGATGGGTGGGGTGAAAAACATCCGTCGTCCTCGACTTATGCAATTTGTCCTTGCTGAATTTTATTTTCTGGGCAATCAGAGCCAGAAGCCGAAAGCGAAACTTTAAAAACTGCTGCAGCTAAACAACGGACGGAAGTGGAGGAGGGACTGTCAGAAAGTCGGGGCTGTCAGTTACGGCCCTTGGCATGTGCTCCACATACAGTGGCTCACAGCTTATTTCGTGCAAAGGTTAACCTAAAATTCAAACTCGTATATTTAACGAACGGTAAGAGGTATCAACAAAATTTAAATGCAGTTTTGTTAAGTAGGATTTAGGCATTTATGAGGACACTTCCTTATTTTTAAATACCATTAGATAACGCTTAAAACTAAAATACAAAAAAATACTGACTTTTTTTATGTCACAGCTTATTTCGTGCAAACAACTTGATCTTAAATTATAATTATAATAATAAACTTAATATTTTGTGTGGCCTCCATATTGCTTAATTACATCCTTAAAACGAGTTTCCATTGAAAAAACAAATTTTTCCGTTGGTTTCTTTGGAATCTTGGGCCATTCTTCGAAGATGCCTGTTTTGAGCTCATTTGGTTGGGTATCGACCTCTTGCCAGGATACCAGGATCTAAAATTGGCTACAAATTCTTAATGACGTTAAGGTCAGGAGACTAGGCAGGTGTATCCATTAAGTGAGGGCAGTTCCATTGCATCCAGGTCTGCAGAAAATCTGATTTTTGCTTTGGGTCATTATCCTGGTCGATTAACGACAAAATTCCAACTCCGGATAACGCCATGCATCCCCAAGCCATGATTCTATCGCCACCATGCTTGACCGTAGGTATTAGATTTTTAGTGTGCAGCTCTGTATTTAGTTGATGTCAAGAATAATGCATTCCACCCTTCCTAATTTTGGCCCAAAATGTTGATCTTGGACTTGTCTATGAAAATAACATCATTCCAGATCGATAACGGATGAGTTACATGGTCGTTGGAAAATTTAAGCCTGCGCTTCTGATTCTTCGGCCTAATAAAAGGCCTTTTGCGGGCTACTCGGTCATTAAAGTTGTGTTTCCGCAAGTCGCGGCGGACGAAACCTTTTCCCATTTCATGTTCAATATCTACTTCATGTTTTGGTGCCCAATTTTAGCGATTAATTAATTTATTTAATTAATTTTTTAGTATAATTCGCCTTTTCTCAATACCTGAAAAAGTTTCATTCTGAGCATTTTGGCCTTTATCTGCTAATAGATTTTCTCGGTTGAAGCATTGGATGATATATTGGACAAGAATATAGCTCACGTTTACTATTTCAGCAAAATTAAGTTTAGTTTTTTCATTTTTAATGTGATTTAGGACCAGTTTGCTTTGCTCCATGGGTGTACGCGTGCTCATTTTGGTAAATCAAAGAAAACTTTTTTTTTTCAGTGTAACCAAACGTTAAAAAGTTATAAATATATAAGTTGATATCTTCTCTAATGGATTGCAACAAGAAAAAGTTATTTCAGATTAACGAATTACAAATTTAGTGTACTTAAAGTTCTTGCACGAAATAAGCTGTGACATGAAAAAATTCGTTATTTTTAGTTTGTTTTAGATTTTAGAGTTAACTAATAGTATTTAAAAATAATAAAGTGTCTTAATAAATGCCTAACTCCTACTTAACAAAACTGCATTTAAATTTTGTTGATATCTCTTACCGTTTGTTAGCTATAAGAATTTGAATTTCAAGCTTACCTCTGCACGAAATAAGCTGTGAGCCACTGTATATCGCATTATAACACGAGATGAGCTAGTCGGAGGCGGCGATGCACACCAGATGCAGATGCCTAAATGAATTGCTGCCTTTCCAAAATTTAATTTATTTTCCGTTCGGTATGCTCTAGTAGCTGCATATTGCAATTAAAATCGATAAAGATATTTTTTGCCACTCAAAATTAATTTATAGTTGGTTTAAAATAAACAGAATAGCTCACAGCATTTTGTTTAATTGAGCATAATATATAAAAAGAATTTTTAAAAGCACATTTTCATGCATTTTCCTTGAAATGTTATAGAGTTTACAAAAAAATAGAAATCTACCATTTAAAAATAGATTAAATTAGATACTTTAAATGTTATATTTTACTGAATAAAATCGAGTTTACATACAATCTTTCGTGTTAAAATTACTTTGAAAATACACTTAGTTCTACTTAAAACCTTCTCTAATCCTTTCTTGGCACTCGCTTCTGGAAAGGATCCCCCAGGCGGTGGAACCAGCCGTACCTCATGCTGGTGGCTTCGGGATAATTGTACTTGACATCCGGTGTGAGTTCGTATCGCTTCTCTAGATAGGTGGATCGTTGTCCACTCTGCAGCAGCTGCACCTCTGTGGGTGGTACCGATTTCATGGGATTCATAGAATTCCTGTGACAAAGGCCATAGTCATTCCGCTCCAAAGGTGACAGATCATAGGAGAATATCGTAGACACTGTGGGTTTATAGGCAGACTTGGTCACCTTAAAGTCATTCCCTTCAGATATGGGATTCTTTCGTCGAGAATTGGGGAGTATCTTTGGATTAATGAGTGTCCGGCCGAAGGCTATGACTTTGGGTGAGTCAAGTTTCCTAGGAGACACGGTTGCCTTTGACGGCACTCCCATAGATATCTTTGTCTGCTGCTGCTTCTCTTTGGGTACTAATTTAGAATTTGGTCGAGGATTATTATGCTTTTGCTCTACAATTTTAGGTTTCTCCAGAATCTTCTTGAAGTCCTGATGAGTTGATACAGCAGGAAGAGCAGATACTACAGGAGGTACTGATACAGGAGCTGATTTACCAGGAGGAGCGATAGCCCCACGCCGGAGGTTATACAGATGGGTAGATTCCACGAACACCTGAGGAATTGCAACATTTGGCATTATATTAATTTGCGATAAAATTTGCTGCTTGTGTGGACTTTGAAATTTTGATGTCACTTCTTTATTTATAGGACTAAAGATTGTCGATGCTAATACAGTGAATGAATTTGTAATGATTTCATTGGAAACTGACTGAATAATGCCTGTTATAATGATTAGGCTATTGGTTTATATAAAATATATTTATTCACTATAAATTTAAGAATCTTTTTTCTTTCTTTGGTATTGTGTAATAAAACGTTTTCTATTTTAAAATGCTTTCATTTACTATTTTTCCAGCTGCCAAACTGTTATGTTATGCTAACAGAAAAATAAACCCATTTAAAGCAAACTTCAATAACCCAATAATTCCCGTTGGCCAACGAGAGTCTTTATGTCTTTCATAAATGCCGATTTTGATTTTCGATGAATGGTAATCCCTAGCTGAGTTTTCCTTTGGCCTTTCCCTTTCCCTGAGTTTTTTTTCCGCTCGTAACCCGAATTTGTGTTTATTTTCAATTTGTGTGTGGTAGTGTGAAAATATAAAGTGGATTATACAGAGATAAGGGCGCTCTACAGACACATTTTTCTCCCATTTTTCGTGTATTTTTTTTCTGGTCAAAAGGAAATTCTGGTGGTGGTGGTATTGGCCCGCACGTTGGCCATAAAAATATAGCAGATATGTCGCCAGACTGTGAAATGTTTATATGCATGGAGGTCGCGTGTCGTCGTGGTCGACGTCGCCATTGCAATTGCACTGCTGGGGAAAGTCCATAAAGCTGGAAATCGAAGGAATCGACAGGTTTTTCCTGAAGCATTTCGGTGAGGCTATATCTTGTGTCTTTGATTTGGTCTCGCTTCAATTGGCTTGTTATTTCCGAATTTATTCTGTTTACTTGCTGTGGCTTCGTTAAAGGTGTTGGTGTTTTGTGTATATTTCAGAAAAGTTTGTGGTTTTCTGTGGTAGTTCCTTCACCTGAAGTTGCATAAATTAGCTGCACATCTAGAGTCATTTTATTGTTATTCTTTCCCTAAACTTTGCTTTGGAATTTGATACTTAAATAACTTAACTAGTATCTTTGTTGGATTTCTTCAGCTTCAATATGATAAATGATTCTTGTGACATGAGCTAAAAAATGGAAGGACTTGCAACTTTAATAAGACGAAAGTGCGCGACAGCTGAAGCACTCACAATTTCCTCGACCCTCGCTGACCATTAGCGGAAAACGTTGCTCCATGCACCATGCTCCTCGTTACTCGCACTTCGATTTTCCCATTTCCATTTTCTTTCGCTGGCTGCATTTTTCTCCATCAATACCTTCCTGGCGGCTCCCATTCCTAGCTCCCGGCTCCCGGCTCCCTGCTCCAATCCTCTCCAGCTCCTTAATTTGCACAGCATTTGTCGCCATTTGGCTTTTAGTTAGCGGAGCAAGGTTGGAGAGGGTAAAGAGGGTGGCTCTGGGACTGACTGATGGAGCTGCAGTTGCACTTTACTGCAATTGGTTGCACTTTATTCGCGGTTGTGCGTGAGTGCAACTGGAAACTTCCAAATGGAATTGGCAGCGCAGCAACTTGCAACTTCTAAATTACATTATTGCCTTCCTCCCCGCATCCCGGCACTTGGCTCTCAATATCCGGAACTGAACTCCTCACGGACATATTGTGTTCCTAATTAAATTGAGTATTGGCCATATCCGAAACCAGCTCACGTATTAATGTCCTAATGACTAGCAGGCAGATCCGCCAATAAGCCCATCAAAGTTGCTGTAAGCGTAATGAGCTCTACTCATCTTGAGTTTTGAGTTCACTGAGGGAAAGTGCTTACAGCTTTTGTATTTTAAATGGAAAACGGATTTTTAAATATATTTTAAGTAAGGGGGATGCATAATTAAGAGCCCTTAACTACCCAAAAAATCAAAGTGTTTCGATTCAAGTATTGTTTGACATAAATATCCCGATTTTAAGACCGATTTTCTTCTCAGTGTCGCGATGAACACTTTAGAGATATGGACAGGCCACCAGGTGCTGCTCCTCGGTAACATCTCCAAGTTCAACAGGCACATGGCCAATAAGCACAACCGACCTCACAAGCGGCCATCAAATAACGCTGCCAAGCCAAAGTTCGTTGACTCAAAATGGCACTTTTGGGGCGAAGCCCTCGCAAACATCTACATAAGCAGCAATGGCAGCTCCAGGACGAACAGAAGCTGAATCCTTCCGAGGAGATGCCAAAGGACTGAGTCAACAATGCCGTGTGCATTGCTCGGTTTATTAAAAAGGGCTCAGGCCCAGGTGAATGGCTAAGAGCGCCGTTGGAAACATCAGGTGCCGGGGCAAACTCTGGCCCTTCCCCTCGGTTTGTCGTGTGTTTACTTAGCCGAGACACACGCAGCATACGTATATAAATATAAAGATAGAGTCGTGGCAAACCGGGCCAGTAGTCGTCTGCAGTCAATGGTCAAAGGTCATTTGCATTTTGCCGCCGTCAGCGTGTCCCGGGAAATCCAAACAAAATATAAACGTTTTCCAGCTGCCGGGGGAATGGCTAAAGCTAGAAATACAAAACTGATTAAATGGCTGAGATTGAAGGGACTGGAAAAATATCTTTAAACAAGAAAGGAAGCTAACTTTAATAATACAATAATACCTTAATAATACAAAATAAATTATACATATTTATGTTAAAAAACAATAAATATGTTACAATACATTTTATATATACATTTTTACATTCACCGATTAGCATTTTCCTTTTTTTTGACGATCGTTTGTTGGCAGCTACATATATGATATAGTAGTCCGATTTTCATAAAATTTTAAAGAATAATGTAGATTAATGTATAATGGCTATATATCAAATTTGATCTGAAATTCTGTTATAAACTGGAAAAGTTATAATTTTTTTTTTAATTTTCTGATCGTTCCTATAGAAGCTATATATATATATATATAAACTGTTCTATATATTTATATATATATATAGTTCACAGAACAGTTTTCCGAATTGAAATGAATGCAGTTTTGATATAGTTATGATATTTGAAAAACATTGAGTTATTTAAAAACCAAGCATATATCGAATTTATAATAAATTGGGAGCCCAGATTAGAAAAAGAATTTTAAGTATCATGTCTTTTGATGAATATTTTTATTACTATTAATATAACATCTTTGAGCCACTATACTTTTTTTAAGGGTAAGAGCAGTATTGACTTAAACTTGTTAAATTTCAAATAAATGTTTTTGGGTTCTACATTCTTGTTTAATATATTTTTTCTTATGACCAGAGCCAGGTGATGGGTTGCATATATAAAGGTATGAAGTGAATGCAATAAATTCAATAAAATCAGATACAAGTCAGCGACTCACGAATGCTACAACACAAAATATATTATATATACTTTTCAACAATGATTAATTGACAAATTGCTGAAATATGTTTCTTGCATGCCGCAGGCACAGCGAGGACTGCCGACATTTTCAGCATGTAAAAACATTTCCATTTCCACAGCTTCACTCCCGATCTCCCATCTCGTTCAAATCGGTCGTCATTAATTTCCACACATCGACGAGGGAGTGGGAATATTTGCCCCGCTCCGAGCTGGAAGCACTTGAAACTGTGCTCCAAACCTTGTTTATCCACAACGGCGTCCTCAACTTTTATTGGGTCCTTAGTTGCGATGACGATGGGGGGGTGATGGTGTGATGGGTTGGTGTGTGGGGTTAGAAGCAAGAAAAACAACAATCAACACCATTTGCCGCTACAAATTAAGCTCGAAGCAAACAAATCGTGGCATGTTCCCCTGGCTTTGCCCCACCAAAAGTTTCTGCTGTTTTTGGCTCATGTTGTTGCCTTGTTTTATGTGGCTGTTGTCTTGTGTACACCAGTGCCTCCCCTCCGCTTTTCCGATTTTCCGCATTTTCTGCTTAAGCCACCCTTCTTCTTCGATTGCCTCAAGGGCAATTCTTTGTTCGGTGTGAAGCAGCATTTTCGATTGGCCCGATGTTCACTATTTATGGGGCAAAAGTGCTTAATCAAATGCCGAAAACGGGCAGGAGCACGCACCGAACACAGGACACTGAGCACACGGCGTATACTTAATGCTCGCACATTGCCCGAGGCAAGAGACAGTCGTGTTTCCGTCTGGGGTTTTCCTTCATTTTGTGCAAAGTGCTAATGAAGCCATGGCCCTTAAATTGGAAATGTTTATTTAATTAACAAGCTCAACGAGAGCTTAACTATTGATGAAGCAGCCTTTCCAGAGCGCGAGTGTTTTGTTTTTCAGAAACTTCTATAGTTTTCAACAACATATGGGGGCGATGTTATTAAATAATAATTATTAAAATTGAGAAGTTTGCTAAGAGCTGCTTTGGAGAGTTTTCCACTAGCTTACAAAATGTGTCAATATTTCCATTAATATAAACTATTAACACTTTATTTTTAAACAAAAATGCTGTCTAAACAGTAATTTTTCAGTAAACAGAAATAAGTTTTTGATAATTTCCATGTTTATAAGTTCAATTTCGATTCTTTGATTCCTTTAGTTAGTTTTTAATTAAAACCAAAACATATATGTATATACATACAAATAAATATACAAGTCGAGCTTATTCGTATGCTGTGGCCGGCTAATGCATTTTGATTGTCAATTTTGATAAATGCCTTTATTAATTCATTTAGCGCCTGGGCCCCGCGGCCATGGTAATAAAATTTTAAATAAATTCATTGCGTTGGCAGGAAAAATAAAACAGATTTTCAAAAAAAAATAGAAAGAAGGCTGAGAGTGCGACAACGTGTGTAAAATGGGAGTGAAAATAATTGCATTTTTGTGATTCTATTTGTCGGTCCATTTTGTTTGCTGCCATGCTTAATTTATTTATTTGGCAGTCGTCGCAGTTTTGTAAACGTTTGTTTTGGGGCACATTGGGTGTTTCGTGATGGCACGTGTTTAATCCTAGTAAGTGTGGGCCACACCTACCGGATATGCTCCAGCCAGGAGCAGGAGCAGGAGGAGAAGGAGAAGGAGGAGTAGGAGTCCACCCCCTGTGTTGGGTGTCCCTTACTCCATGGCACGGTTGTCATAAAATGTTAAATATAAATTTATGGCGGATTGCGCGCTGCTGGCATACTAAGCACCGCATCTTGGCTCTTGACTAGAGTTGGATTCAAAGTCGGATGCGGACAGAGTCTCTCCGGCTCTGTTCCTCTCTGTTGGCTAAGCACATTAGCCAAATGAAGCTGTCTCGATTACGATTATGTTTGGACAGAGATTTTGTTGCATTTTGAGATTTTGTTGTCAGCATTCGAGGCACAGGACGCAGGAAGCAAGACGCAGGACTGGTTGTTTCCCTTTTAAATAGGATCTAATTCTGAGGCATCGGCGGGTAGAAAAGGTGGTTCAAATCAATAGCAATTTGGCCAAAATGTTGCTGGCTATTATTATGGTATAACAGCTTCATTTGTAATTGTCTCAATTTGTGACATCAATAATTCGATTAAGGCGATAATTGTTAATTCACATATAGAATGGATTATGCACATTTGCCATTATTGCACGAAATTCAATTATTTATTTTATTTCATGGCGATTCAATTAAAACTTGATGTCGATGACAGCTACAAATTGCATAAAGTGGTTATTAATAAAACGATTTAATTGTATTCTAGTTAGTGGGATGTTTTAAGGATATTTCATTAAGAATTTGTCAATAAATATTTATGTGTTGTAAATATGATGACAGCAATTTGTGGTATTTAACACTTCTAAATTGATATTAATGTTTTAAATGTGATTTAAATAAGTGGGTTTATTAAAATTATATACTAGAAAGGAGAGTCTCTTTATTATATTATTTTTTTTTTTTCAATATATACATATTTCACCTAATTTTTTAGCAACCTTTTGGATCAGCAGGCTTTTTCCAATATATTGACTTATGATTATATATTTGTTTATCTTAGTATTCCTAAAATTCGTAGCTATTAAACACCACTAGTACTTACAATATATTTACATAAACAATTGTCAAAGTTGATTAAAAACTTTTCCCATGGCTGACCGATATGATCGTGCTGTGACCATATACTCTCCCGATGGCCACCTTCTTCAGGTGGAATATGCCCAGGAGGCGGTTCGCAAGGGATCCACGGTGGTGAGCTATATTGTTTCTTTAGGAAATAGTTTTTCTCCTGACAGAGGATTTTAGGTGGGTCTGTGCACCAAAAACTCCATAATTCTGGGCATGGAGAAGAAGCATGTGGGCACTTTGCAGGAAGAGCGAACCGTACGCAAGGTATGCATGCTCGACGACCATGTGGTGATCACCTTTGCTGGACTAACAGCCGATGCCCGGATCATAGTCAGCCGAGCTCAGACAGAGGCGCAGAGTCATCGCTTGAATTTTGAGAAACCCGTGTCCGTGGAGTATATAACGCGGTAAGTAAAACTTTTTGTCTATTCCCACATTTTCCTATATTTTTCCTATGCAGTTTTATAGCCCAGATGAAGCAGAAATATACACAGAGCAATGGCCGGCGTCCCTTCGGCTTGTCCTGCTTGGTGGGCGGCTTCGATGAGGATGGCACTCCGCACCTGTTCCAAACGGAGCCCTCAGGCATCTTTTACGAGTGGAAGGCAAGCGGCACTGGGCGCTCGGGAGCCTTGACCCGCGCCCATATGGAAAAGCATGCCGACGAGATTCTAGCCTCCACGGATGAGCCCATGGCCATGCTGAAGCATGTGGTCCGTACTCTGGTGTGCTCAGCCACGTTGAATCAGAACCAAATCGAGGTGGCTGTCCTTGAGCACAAGCAGCCGTTGCGGATGATTGATCACCAGGCCGTCACCGATCTCGTGAGGGAGGTGCAGCAGGAAATGGAGGAGGAGGCCAAGCAGCGGACGCGCAAGACTCCACGTCCTTGATTCTGGACACTGCCGGCGGGCAGGCAGGACACTTTACGAGATACTTCTAATCAAAAGTTGATAAACCATTCCTTTTCTGGCATCGCATAGCTTGGTTTTTCCTTTTTTTTTTTTTTGGCAATTCAATTTCGGCCAGGGTGTTGGAGAAGGAAAAGTAATCAGCAGGAAAAATGTGTAAAAGCGGGGCAAATCACTTAATTTGTCTCGAGGGCGTATTTGTTTACTTTATGTCCTGGCGTCCGCTCTTTTTTTCCTGCCAACCAAGTTAAAAAGTTTTAAGTGAAAATGGGAATTGAATTTGCTGGAAAAAAGTGGGAGAGATGCGTGAACACCAGCAGAAAAATATGTCTATTACTGCTTTGATTTTTTTATTAAAAAAAAATCTAAATTCAAAGAAAACACATCAAAAATTAGACTAGAAGTTAGTTCCTAGTTTAATCTTACTTATTTTAACTAACAATAGAAATAAGAAATGTTCTTAGTGTACTCGCCGTCGATTTTGTGTTAGTTCCATTTAGGCTTTCGTGTTCCTGGCACACCTTTGACTCCCCAGGCTGTCATATTTCCTAGAAAAAGTTTTCCTCAATCGAGTGCTTCAATCAGAGGTTAGAGCACTCCTAGCTAGGAAACGAGAAAACGCCAGGTGGAACCAACGTTTAACCCTTTAGGCTCGTCAAGCCCGCTTGGATTATTTCGTCGGTGAGCAGGAGATTTCCAGCAATGATGGAGCACGAGTTCAGGATCTGCTTACGCACACAGTAGTTGTCAAAGATGCCATCAGCAGCCGGGTCCATGGCCTCTCCGGTGCCCAGGTCGAGACCCACGGATAAGTCGCTCTCCCGCTGTGCCTCCGACAACTTGACAATAGTGTCCTGGACATCAAAGCCGCTATTTGCAGCCAGGGTCTTGGGTATGACCAACAGGGCCTCCGCAAAGAGATGGACTCCCAACTGGGCTTTGCCCTTGATGGTGTGCTTAAACGTCTGGAGTTCGCTATGAGCCTTCACCTCGAAGGCTGCTGCACCGGGTACAACGCTAGCATCCCGAATGGCATTCTGGATGGCATGGAGGCCATCGCGTATGGCATCCTTAATGGCCATAATCTGGTGACGAGCCTCGCCGCGAATCAGAATCGTCACTGAGGTGGGATTGCGGCAATGCTCAACAAATGTATACTTTGTTTCACCCAGGACCTCCTCACGAACGGAACCGGCAAAACCCAGGTGCTCCTCCTTCAAGTCCTCCAGAGAATTCAAGGCCTCACCGCCGCAGGCCCTCACCAAGCGTTCCATGTTCTTGGGCTTGGCACGACGTAAGCCCAGGATTCCCTCCTTGGCCAGAGTCTCCAAGGATGGCACATCGATGCCCTTCTGAGTGATGACCACAAATCCCTTTTGGTTTCCCTCACAGACTCGCTTCTTTAACTCTATAATCTTGTCCAGACGGAGATCTATGAAGCGATGCTCCTCGGTCACATAGTTGTCCTGCTCTTGGGCAGTTTTGTAGCAAAAATTCGAAGTCACCGAGGTTTTCTCCAGCTCCAGCGATACATTGCATGTGAGGATGTAGGCATCCGTTAGTTTTTTGGGCATATTCACGTGACGTCCTCCATGATCCAGGACCAATCCCTCGACCAGCAGCGTTTCCAAACTGCTGTGCTGCAGCATTTCCATCAGTTCAATCATATTCAGATCCAGCGGATCTCTGTCATCGCCTCGAATGGCCAAAACAGCATCCACACAGATTTCGGTGAGCACATCAGCTAGGCCTGGCTCCAGTTTAGTTCTCAAACTGGTTCTGGCCACGGGAATTAAGGACTCCCGATTCACAGTCATAGGAATCTTGAGCGAATGAAGCACCTCCAAAGCCCTATCCTTGGCCAGCATAATGCCCTCCACCAGCAGGCGAGGATGCAGGCCATCTTCGATTAGAAGACCCGCCTGCTTTAAGAGTTCACCAATCAAGAGCACCGTGGATGTGGTGCCATCCCCCAGGGAATCATCCTGAGCTGTACTGGCCCGTGCGATCATGGCCGCCGTGGGGTGGCGAATGCACATCTCATGGAGCAGCACATTGCCATCTTTAGTGATCTTGATGTCGCCCGCTGGAGAGACGAGCATCTTGGTGGTGCCCTTCGGTCCCAAATTGGAGGCCATGAGCTTCTGCAGACCCGTGGCCGCTGTAATATTGATGCCCAGGGCCTCGGCAGCCCGTGCGATTTCAGCTTTTGGATTTAGGAGACTTATAGCTGCCATTTTTGGTTTAATTCAAGATGATTTTGATTTAATTTTCAGGAATATAAATCAGTAAGGAAATACAATGTCAACTTGACAGAATAATCGCTGTTGTCATTTGTAAGTTCAGCGAAAGTTGGTCAGAACAATGTGGTCACATAGTAGACCCTGACAAAAAGCCTTCAAACTGACTCTTTTCATGTATTTTCAGTCTGTGCCAAGATGTCGGAGAAGTGAGTACTTCTTTTGTCAATAAATTGTATGTAAGCGTTTACTTCTTAATTAAATTCGTTTTCTTCGTCCCTTAGACAGGGCACCAGACCTTTTGCGTCTGCACCAGTGTGCAGCTGGATCAAATGGTTCACCGGGCTCCAGGGACACAACTTCCTCTGTCGTGTGCCCAGCGACTACATCATGGACAGATTCAACACGATAGGCCTGGAGACTTTGGTGCCGAACTTTAAACTCACTCTGGACATTATCCTTGATCCCGACGTTGCGGGAGTGGTCTGGAACAAGTCGGTGGACCCCACGGATTTGGAGACCTTGTTTGGTTTAATCCACGCCCGGTATATACTTACCTCGTCTGGCTTGGAAGCCATGTGCAAGAAGTACGAGAGCGGTGAATTCGGCATGTGTCCGAAGTTCTATTGCAAGGGTCAGAACACTCTGCCGGTGGGTCTGTCCGACGATTGGGGTCACTCCAACGTGAAGTTATATTGCCCCCGTTGTCGCGATGTTTTCCAACCGAACTCGAGCTGCTGCCTGCTGGATGGTGCCATGTTTGGGACCACTTTTCCGCACATGTTCTTCATGCAGATGCCGGAGTTGCGTCCTCATCCACCAGAGGAGAAGTACGTGTGCCGGTAGGTATATTTGAAAAATAATCTATTAAACTGTTTAATCTAACAGTTTCTTTGGATTTCAGCAGCATCACTCGAATCTAATCCCATCCGAATCGCCGGAGTTTATGGTCGGAGTTGAGGTCTAGCCTCGACGCGACACTGTTGACAATTAACACCAAACCAAACACCAAAAATAACAACACTATCAACATAACAACACACACAAAATAATTACGGGAAAGCACATACATGATAACTATATTCTCTTGTTGCAAATAAACTGATCCTGATGCAGTGCGTTGATATGGCCAGAAATTCCACACACACATGCCTTGTTCAAAGCCTGACCATATCAAACACTTTAAGCACCACTTTATATGACCTAATGAATATTAACACATTAAAAATGGAATAATAAAATAATTTGTATGGGTTATTAAATACAAGTGTTGATTTGTCTATGCCTTAAAATATTTCTCTTTATTGTCACGCAACTAATGACAAAGCATGTCATGTGATCTTGAATGAAATTCAGAAAATAATCGAAAGTTGGTCTAAATAATATGGTGTCATAGTAGGTCTTGACAAATAGTCTTTAAACTTCGGGCTTTCATTTAATTTCAGTCTGTGCCAAGATGTCGGGAAAGTAAGTACTTTTTTTTTACTCCCAAAAGTTATTAAAATTTATTTAGTTTTTCACGTTCAGTTTCTTCTCATTTTATACATTTTTTTTGTTCCGATTTTTACATTCCTCAGCCACTACTTGAGCACCAGACCTTTTCCGTCTGCTCCACTGTGCAGCTGGATCCACTGGTATACCGGTCTCCATGGGAACGACTTCCTCTGTCGCGTGCCCAGCGACTACATAATGGACAGATTCAACCTGACAGGCCTGGACACTTTGGTACCGGACTTCAATCACTCTCTGGAAGTAATCCTTGATCCGGAATTCTTGAGCGAAGAATGGGATAAGATGATGGACAACAACCTTGTGGAGAGCCTTTATGGCCTCATCCATGCCCGGTATATTCTTACGTCGCATGGCATGGAAAACATGTGCAGGAAGTACGAGAGGGGCGAATTTGGCATCTGCCCGAGGGTCTACTGTAAGGGTCAGAATACCCTGCCGGTGGGTCTGTCCGACGAGTGGGGTCACTCTAAGGTGAAGTTGTACTGCCCCCGTTGTCGCGACGTTTACCAGCCGAGATCGCGCTGCTCCCTACTGGATGGGGCCATGTTTGGAACCGGGTTTCCGCACATGTTCTTCATGCAGATGCCGGAGTTGCGTCCCCATCCGCCAGAGGAGAAATATGTGGGACGGTGAGTATTTATTATTGTGTTTGAATAATCTTTAAAACTGTCTGATGTGGCAGTCTGTTTGGATTTCAGGTGCACCACTCGGCCCTAATTCCACCCGAATCGCCGGAACCCAAGAACTTCGAGGTGACCAGGACCCCTGTGTAGCCTCGGTGCGACCTCGTCGACAATTACAACGTTAACACTGTTCCAATTCCAACACTAAAATATTTACGGGAAAGCACATACATGATAACTATACTAGCTTGTTGCAATTAACTAGATCCTGATGCAGTGCGTTGATATGGCCAGGAAAACAAGGCAAACAGTCGCAAACACTAAACACACACTATTAAGACAACACGCATGCCTTGTTTAAAGAGTGACCATATCAAACACTTTAAAATAAGCAATCTAGAGTCCTTTTAACTAATAAGGAGCTCTCTTAATCTCTCTCTTATAATTGCTTATGTCTGCTTAAGTGTTAATAAAATACAGAGTTTCCTAATTCCTGATGAAATTTTACTCAAAGTCTTCTCATTGATAAATATACTTTAAACTTCCAAATCGTTTTTTAATATAAGTGGCTATATAACTTATTCCTGTGTATCCTTGGTCCTCAGGATTGCACAATCAAAATCCACTTGCCGGCATAACCTGCTAAGCCGATAATGGGAATTACGCCCAGTTGCTGGAGCGTCCGCAAGGAGTCGAGTCAAGTCCTGGGCCTGAATTACCGGCTTCTCATGCTCTCCGCTGGCATCTCCAATGAGTCATGCCTTTATTATTATTTACTGCCGCCCTGCCGCTTTCAGTTTTCCACGCCACTCGACGCCTTTTTCCTCTGTCCTTGAGTGGAGTATTGTGCCGGCTCAAGCGTCTTCTCTCTGGGTTTTCCCTTTTTCCTTGCAGCACACACACACTTTTCACACTTAATTTCATTAAGTAATCTTTCATACTGCAGCTTTTATTGAGTTTTAAACTGGCAGACCGTATAATGAGCATGGTGGCGGAAAAGCCAGAGCAAATGGAAAGGAGCAGGATTCAAGAGGAAGCGAACGTTTTGTTTTACATTACAATTGAGCTCGGGAATGTGTTATCTTATTGTCTTTTCTCCCACTGGATGGTCTTTCTTTGGCTGCCACTTTTTGTGGTTCCAAGAGGGATGCATTCATTGGGACAGGGTCACTTGTTGAACTTTCTATTAATATTTCTTGATTTTGAATCGCAGAAAGTATACAAATTAAGTACTTAAAAAGCAATAAAATGCGGATAAACTCGTTAATATCTTCAATAACAAAATGTATTATTTCTAACCCGTTTTTTTTTAAATCCTTTATTTACAAAATTCACCAATTTCTAATCCCAAGCCTTCTGGCTATGTGTCATATATGTAATATTTACACCATTTCCGGCACTCTATGTGTCGTGTTGCATCTGTTCCTGGTTCAATAAACAAATCTCTATGTTGGCCCAGTAAACAATGCACTTGCACTCGATTGGAAACTCCGCTCCAAGCTGCCGCTCTCCATCCTTTTATCCTTTTGTTATCCCTGCGCTGGACCAATGTGTTTTCAAGAATTGCCGAATATTTGATTGTATCGCTGCGGGCTCGGCAATTTCTCTCTGCCATCACTACGACGGAGTGCATTTTTCGGAAAGTTGTTTTTCCAAATGCCGCAAAAGCTTACTACGGAAATATTATTGTTCGCCGGCTTTTACAAATATTGTTTGGGACTCGAATCCCATCTCGCTGGCCAAACAATAAGGAAAACTCGGTGAAAGTCTGAGCAGATTCAATTTTATTAATGATTCAATGCCGATTGTAATGTAGTTTTTAATCCGATGTAAAAGCTTGTATCATAATTTACTAGTTCCTTAGCCTTAGATGGTTGCTCCAATTGTATAAATTGTTCTCTACCACTTGAACTTTTATTTCATTTAATGTAATCATCTGTAGCATTCCACTAATGATACTCCTTTTTTTTACAATTTGTTCTCTGCTTTTAATTCCCATTTAAATTAAAATCCTTTGTTTCTTTATACAGCCAAAAAAAAAACAGATTATTTTCAGTCTCTCGTAACACTTTTTAGACTTCTCTCGCTGATGAACCTAGCCGAGGCTAAGCGATTCAGCAATTTATGGTTAATGGCACTAAATTGGTTAACTTTGGCAGCCGGCAAACTTTTCAAAAACTTGGCAAAGGATAGGAAAAAAACTGCGGTTCCGTTAATTTGAAGCTGAGCGGTCGACTAAACCCAAAAGACTACAAAGTCCTGATTAACCCATAGAGACAGGGACACTCGGCCGCCTGCACCGACGTAATTATCCTGATGAGATTGGCCAGGCCAGGCTAGGCGAGGAAGGGTCTTTAACTTCAACCGTTGAAGGTGGGCACCGGGTTCGTCAGTCTGCAAATTAAGTTACGGCGGCGGAACGCCGGACATGTCTCTCCCATAATAAGCTAAATGAAAACAAAAATGGACGTCACTCAGCGTCACAAATTGATGAAGACAGAAGCGGAAGGAAGTGCCCCAGGAGGAGGCGGCGATGCTGGGCAAGATGGCGAGAGCGTAACCTAATAACTTTGGCCACGCATTAATTGGAATTTATAAAGCAGCCACTCTCTCCGGCGGATTCTGTGCTAAACAAAGCGCATAATGCGTACCGAGTGTCATTGGAAGGGTTAAGGGACCTCCGGCTACACAGCTACCCGGCTCCTCGGGCTCCTCCGTCAAATGGCAAGTGGCGACTGGCAAACGGCAAAAGGAAGCAGAGTAGAAAAGTGGACTTGTGCGCCAAGTTTAAGTGCTTTTAAAAAACCATTAACGTCATTTCCTTTGCCGTCGTCTGGTGACTTTTCCCCAACTCGTATTTTTCTTACATTTATTTTTTCTATCTGCACTTGCGAATGGTCAACATCAATACAATACAATCTATTGAAACGAAAATTTGGTTAGAATCTCTCGCCAAGACCTTACTTCGATTTCTTTTTTGGGGGCAGTATCGGCAGTGATCCGTCGCCCCAGGTTCCCGTGGGATTGGGTACGGGAGCGAGCCTATCGTTACCCGTGAGTGGAGCAACTGGCTTTGAGGTGTCGCTACCCCTCTTCACGCGACCGACCGTCTGGCGCCTCCGCGGTGGCTGAGATGTGGGTAACGGAACAGGGACTTTAGGTACCGGAGCTGGGGCTGCTTGTGGGTCAGTTTTGGTGTCCTTGCTCTCAGGTTGTTCCTTTGACGACTTTCTCTTAGGAGCAGCCTCCGGAGGGATGCCTTTTAAACTGGTCTGCGACTCTTTGACATTGGGCACCAGCTTGGACTTGGATGTCCTTCCTTTCAAACTTTCAACCGTGGACCGCAATTTATCCCCTGCCGTCGTCTCCCGCTTGGCAATGTCTGGCATCGGTGGCAGCTTCATAGAGGTCTGGCTGATCCGACGAGTGTTGTCCAGTGGATCGTTGTGAATGACCTGCATGGGTCCGGGACAGGCGCCCACAGGCGGTGGATCCTCGTAGCAAACGTACTTGTCATAGTCAAAGTTGTCCTGACTGTCGGTGGCCGGAACACCGCGATGGTGGAAGCATTTGATGGGACAGGATGGCTTGCAGGGCTCGTAGGGCTTCTCGCACTCGGCCAGCTTTTTGATTTTCACCGAGTTGCAAAAGATCTGGTGGCGATCGATCTGCTGTTCATCCCGGCACATCTCACGCTGCTCGTACTTCCGGTAGGCCAGCTCCGCCTTGGAGTAGTATCCTGGCCAGCAGCCGTCCCTAAGCTGGCTGCGCTTCACCAGCCTGCCCTCCGGCTGCATGTCCAGCTGGTTCAGCTTCTCGTAACGCTTCACCGCGGTGGCTATGGGATAGAGAGGTCTGCCCACCTTACGTGACTTCTCCATTATTTCGACGGCCTCCTCGTAGAACTTCTTGTCGTCTGCCAGGTATGGGTCCTCGTTGCAGGCTGCCAGGTTCATCAGCTCGTTGCGTCGCTTCTCGAGGAACTCCTCCCGCTGACCGAAGAGCACGTTGCGCAGATCCTCCTTAACTTTATCCTGTTTGCGCTTCTGCGATGCATCAAAGAAGCGGTTCGCCTCGGCATTCTTGAGGCGACGCGCCACCATGAAGCGTTGCAGCTCCTTCTCCTTCCGGTACTTTTGTTCTCCCTGCTTACGCTCCTCCAGCTGGTAGGCTCGCCGCTGCTTGGCCAGCTCCTGGATCTCGCACTGGCGCCGGTTCTCGTCCACCTGCGTCTCGAATTCATAGCGATCCTCGGCGGTGGCCTGCTTCTCAGCCAGGAGTCTCTTGGCCACCCCCTGGGCCTGCATAACGCGCACCGCCTGCACCTCCCGAGCATCCTGCTCTTTCTTCCTCATTTCCTTTACGTGGATGCCGAAGCGGGTGTTCAGGTTCCGATTAGCGACGTTGTAGACGCAGTTTCGCCGGTCGTCGATTTTATCGCAAATCTTTTCATCTGGGATTACGGGGGGTAGTGATTATCCTTACTCTTTGGATTCTGGGACTTTACTTACGAGTTGCAATCTCAGCTTTTTCCTGGATAGCATCCCGATAGGCTTTGCGGTAGAAGGCAATTTTCTTGGCCTTCTTCTCTTTTAAGGCCTTCTCTTCCTTGTCCTGCAAGCACTTGTACTGAGCGCGGTCCACCTGCTCCTCGAAGATCCTCTGTTCTCTTTCTGCTTCCCTGAGCTTCTCACGCTCTGCAATATCCTGACGTATGAACTTGGCATAACTCTGGTTCCTTTCGGCTTCCTTGGTCTTTTCCTCCTCCTCGGTGACATGTCCGAAGGGTATTAGGACCTCCGGGCATAGCTTCTCGTCAGCCTCTTCTTGGGCTCGAGCAGCCGCGGCAATCTCTTCGTTAAGATCCTCATTGTACTTCCGCTGGTGAATCATTTCGCTGAGCAACAAAGCCCCGTGCAGGGCTCTCGGTCCAGGCTTCAGTTGATTCAGTAAATTGTTCGCTCGCAGGATACGTTGCTTGCGCAGTCGGTCGTCGGCCACCTTGGTGTCCACTTCCTTGACAGAGCTCACAATTTCCGTGCTCGTTACCCGGCGAATCACCTGGTCCTGGGGAATCGTGGGATCTGTGAACAAGCTGCAAAGTAGATCGTTGCCATCCTTGAGGTACTGCCGGTATCGCCGCTCCTCCTCAACGGCTTCTATCTGGGCATGTTTCGTTTCCTGGCGAGATCGTCCCTTGATCGCTGCGAAGCGCTTGGCCGAGATCACGACGGGATGCCGAGCGAATCGCTTCCTAACGATCAATCCATTGGGACCCACCAGTTTGGGTGTGCAAGGAATCGTCTTGGACATGTCAGACAAGACAAAATCACTGAGAATATCGTTAGCAATGTGATGCCGTGTGAATGTATAAATTCATTCGAACGAGCCAATAGATCGTCTCGAAATCAAATGAAACTATTCTCAAAGTCTCAAGATGTATCTTTGTTACGATTTATAATAATAGAACCGAGTCTAGGAATAAATGAGTTTTATTTACGTAGAATAATATTCACATTCTAAGTTTTAAATATTTTCTCTAAAAGAGCTTTGCACAACAAAATTCTTACCCGGGAGCGGATTTATCTCATTCTGGTTTAGTTTTTTAGAGGTATTCAACTGTGTCAATGAATAATTATCACTGATTTATAATAACTTCAATCTTGTATTAAGGCAATCAAAAACGAGTTAGATACTAATAACAAAATAATTGCTAGTAAGTACAAATTTTATTTGAAGTTTTTTAGTCTTTCGCTAATTGCTTAACGCTATGGACTATAAAGTTGTCATCGTTGGAATATATCTTATAGCTTCGCTTCTACTCTGCAGTGTAAAATATTCTGAACTGATACTGAATCTAAATAGGAAAATATATTAATTTATATATCCCCCAGGAGGCACCCACCGTTAAAATGACAAACGCCGTCTGCAAGTCGTACAACAAATCCTGGGTCGCTGTCCACTACTGTCGACTAAAAGCCTATTCCCGTATCAAAACCAGCTTGAATATAAATGCCACATTTCTAGAGCCAGCCAATAATATACATCTCCATCTAAAAATGATGAAAAAGGCCAGCGGCTATAAGCCATTCCTCTTCGATTACACTTTTGATGCCTGCGAGTTTATGCGTAAGCGAAACCAACCCTTCGTCAAGCTTATCTGGAATCTGATCAAGGATGTGTCCACGGTGAACCACACCTGTCCCTATGTGGTGAGATTGTTAATTAATTCTGTTAAATGTATTCTTTAAGTTTGAATAACTTTTTAGGGCCTGCAAATGGTTCACGATTTCCATCATATTCAGTTTCCACTTAATATGCCTTCCGGCGACTACTTGCTATTATTCGATTGGATATTCGATGGCAAGCCGCAGTTTGCTACCAATGTTTATTTTAATTTTGTGGAAGATTCATAAATAACAAAAAAGGTGCATAAAATACTATATATTATCTAATTCAATTTATGTAATTTTAAAATAATATAAATCAAAAGCAAGGATTGTGTGTCACAGCCACAAAAATTAAAGAGGGTCAAAGGATGCAATACAGAACTTCGATGTTTATATTTTAGAACAATTTAATAAAACAATTTTGATTGGCTGTGTAAGGCATAAATTTTCAATTGAAGTGTTTTTTAATTAACCCAAAACAGCTTTAATAGCTAAGTCAAAATATATTCAAACCGAAAGGGAAAGTCGGCACTGGCAGTGATATAGTTTTACTTTAATTTCCTCTTCTTTTTTTTGGTTTCAAATAATCATTTTGGCATTTCAAAAGTTTGAAACAATCATAAAAAATGAATTAATTATTTTTCACAAGAGTTTCGTATAATTTCCGCAATTAATTTCCGCCACAAATTGTTCCTCGTGATACGTTTGCTCTGGCCATCCGCAATTAGATGAACCCCAATTAGTGTTAATCAAATTAGGCAAAAACCTTACTTGAGCGGCGATGCCAGGATTCAGGGAGCAGGATGGTGCACACAATCCAATTCCCGGCAGGCGTCAAATTATACAGAAAACTCAGATGGCGAACACAAATGGGAATCAGAGAGGAAAAAAAAATGAAGAAAAACGCAAATGGAGCAGGGGCGGCCGAAAAAGTTGACTTTCATGCGAAAAGTTCTTTTTCGTGACTTTACTTGGCAGGATTTTTGTAGAGGGAAGGCGGCAGGCTTTCGCAAGGGCACTGGGGGCATGGTCAGATGGCAAACACCGGCGATTATTGTTACAAAATGCAGCGGAGCGTGTAATTTTTTAGGGCCACCAAGGCGAAACCGAAAGAATCCACATTCAGATTCGGTTTGCGATTCAAATTGCCAAAGAAGCCCAATGCCCCTTGGGAGAGAGACGTGCACAGGAGGAGAAGCGAGGACGATGGCTTCTGAAAATTGTTTTGCGAAAATTAGTTTTCTAACTTTTCTTGTTCGTTTATCTTGCATTTTTCTTCGGTCTCGTTGTCGTCCTTTTCACATCCTTCGTCCCTGTGCGTGGCCAAATGAAATCCTAAGCGCAGTATGCGATATTAATTTGCATTTTGGGCCTCGCTGTCAGTGGGATTCGTGGGAAATCGCGTTCCTGGCACAATAAAAATGAAATTTGAATAATTTTTAATTTATTTAGCAACGCTTGGGACGAATTTCGTCGGTGTTTTTGTGTGTAATTGGTAATTCTCCTACGAATGTTCTTTTTCTTTTTGTTGGATCCGGTTGTTGTTGTTATCCATTTTTAAAAGGTTTCAGATTAATTGCTATAAAATGGCATTTTAAGTAAGGGAAAGTAAAAATAATAACACACTTTATGCAAATCGATTTTTAGTGATATTTATTTATTTTTATTTAAATACAGTTTTTGTTTGTTTGCGTATTCAATATGTATATCTAGTGTTAATTTAACTAAAATAAATATACTTAAAGTGTAAATTGATTTTGCTTTAACTATCGTTTTACTTAGCTACAAATTATAAATGATTTAACAATTAATTTCCACACCGACCGACTTAAATTCTTGACAATCACAAAGTTAGGATTTGATTTTGATTTCGTAGAACAGTGAGTAATTTTTAATTTTTTGTTTTTTGGTTATGGAACTATGACTATGATTAACCACAACGCTTTTAGATCCGCCAATATTAGAGACTACTTTGATCCTTAAACGCTAGGGAAGAGAAGAGGAAAGATGGGATGAGGGTCTTGAATTTCTAGCAGGATCTGAGAGGAAAGTCTGATATCTCTGTTTTTATTATGTCTTCATATATTGGGCTTCTGTTTTGGCACAGAACAGTCCAACCAAGTTGGCCAAAAACCTTTTATTTAGCTTCTATACTATTCTCCGATTATGCTGAAATATACACACATACAACACTCAACAATTACGATTAAAGTATCCTGTTTGTTTTTTTTTTTGTTATAGGGAAACTTAGGGTATCACAAACACTTAATGAACACTTACTATGGTTAACGCTTTGCTTAACTTGGCTGATTCCGATTGGATGGGCATAGTCGTGGAAGTAATTAACCCCTAGATAGGGTAACTTACGGAAGGCAGAGACTTAAAGTAGGCAAAATAACGGTCTACCTTGGGATTTAAAAAAATCGGTAGATGATGGCAGGCAGAAAATATTGCCATATACCCGCCATGTCTTTGGTGTATTTACTTTCACATAAATTATCTAACTGTGGGTCTTTTAATTCTTATTTTAAATTTAAAATAAATAATAGGCTTACTTTATTTAACTAAAACTTGAAAGATATGGCCTTTGGTATTGAAAATTCAATTTAAAGGGTTAAGAGTTAAGAGTTCCCAGGGAAAGTGTTCTATGACTTTAACTAAAGGCAGTTTATTGGAGTAAAAGTTTTCACATTTTTCCTTAGATATATAAAGAAAAACGAAAGATTTCTGAAAACTGAAAGCCAAACCAACCCTCTATGATAGCCTAGCTCCTAATCTTAATCCTAATAGACAACACACAATTAGCTTTATGTTTGCCTCGGCGATATTATATAGACACACACACGCACGTACGTACACCTATGGAATCTTATAGATATTTGCTCATTTCTCACTCCCTACTCCGCCTCTTCTCCGGACCCGACTCCAATCTTGGCTAGCTACTTCCGGTACTCGGCCAAGGGAATACCCACTGCGGAGGCCTTGTCCGGCGGCGGACTATGGCAGGCGGCACGGATTCGGCTGAACCGGAGGCTGCCCGTGTGCTGGTGGGCCCGCATCCTGGCCAACTGATGCTGTGGATGGTGCGTGCACTTGGCCTGCCGAGCCAGCAGCTGGGTCTTGGCCAAGATCACGTCCTCTGCGTACTAAATATCCGGAATACTGCGCCCGCAGGTCAGCTTGGCGGATGAATCGTCGCCCAAGCCATTCATGATTCCTCCTCCTCCTCCTCCGCCGCCGGCTGCCTTGTTCTTGGCACAGTTAACGTCGTGGAACAGATGCTCACAGAGCTTGGGCTCCGAGTTGGAGAACTTGCCCAGATCGGCTGCGGTGGCCGCCTGGGAGAGATTCAGCTGCAGATCGCTGGCCTTGCTGAAGGAGGTGGTCTGCTGCTGGTGGTGCTGCTGCGGCTGGTGGAGCTGGTGCACCAGGTGGTGGGTGTAGGGCAGGTGGGGCAGATTCTTCTGCATGGCACTCAGATTGCCCGAGCTCACGGTCCGCTCCAGGATCTCGCCCCAGTACTTCTCCGAGAGACCCTCGATGTCAGGCCGCGTGGTGGAGTACGCCTCTGACGCCTGGTGGACATGGCCTCCTCCTCCGCCACCGCCCATTGTGCCTCGTATGTACTGCGAAGCACTGCGGCTCAAGCTATTAGCCCGCGAACGGGCGCAGATTCCCAACACAGAGCCACCAATTGTGCTGGCCACTCCGCCGCCACTGGAAGCGGTGGCTTCACTGCCACCAACTGCACTGCCTCCACCCGGTGGGCGGGACGATGGCGGTTCCGGTGGAATCGGAAGCGTTGTGATTTCGAAATCGTTAGCATTGATGTGACAACAGGCTGATTTGTGTTCGGGTGTATCCTCGTGGGGGAAACACTGGAATTAAACAAAAAGGTCATCACTTAAAAAAACAAAGTACCATTAAGGTTCTTTAAGGATTAAACATATTTTGAAAGATTGAAATGAAATTAATGTTCTGTAAATAATTTACAAAACTTTAAATGGGGATGTTTGAAAAAAATAATATTTAAAATATTATAATAACATACTTAGTTATGGTGCTATGACACTTGAATTGCAGTACCTAGGTCTAGAATCAGTTATCCTAGCTAAACATTTATTCAGTCAGAAGATTGTAATGCAATGAAGATCCTTTAAATCATATATATTCATGATCAGCATGAAAAGCCCAATCCATCTAGTCATGTTTAGTAGAAAAATATGTTTACCCGTTTTTTAAAAACTTTATAAG